TTAAGAGAAAATAAACATACCGCTTCCAGGAAGGAAACTCTATCGAACACATTTCACAAAAGGAACGAATACCTCGCTTCTTTTTAATTACATGAGCACAAGAATGCTTGTTGTACTGCAAAATGTTTGAGAACGTCAGTTTACATTCCGGACAGCTGCCGTATATCGGAATTCTAGGTAATACAAGCATCGATTATATTACAAATATATCTCAATTAGTGAATATAGTTACTCAGCCACGGGTGCGTGCAACAGAACAAGATGCATTGATAGGAATTTGCGGCCTTTTAATTCCTTGTTGCATCCTTTGATGGGACAATGGTAGACATCTTTTCGGGTTTTGTGAGCCTTTAACAAATGATTCAAAAGGCTCTCGAAAGTGGGACACTTCAGGGAGCAGTGCTTGCACACAGTGCACCACTCAAATGTCAGCTTTTCAAAGCTCGTCTTCACCACGGTGGACAAGTACTCCGGAATATTATCAACTTCATCCTCTGTAAATATATTAATAAATAAAATTGCGATTAATAAATAGAATTGAGATCGCCTTTTAATTTAGGACAGTATACCCACTTTCTTTGATGTCCACAAAGTTAAACAGAACAATATTGCTAGTCTCTCCCTCGTCGATGTCATCATCGCTTTGACTTTCTTCAGCTTGAGCTACCAGTCTAGACCGATAACTTATTGGTTTCACCTTAACATTGTCCAAATTTGGATCCATAGCATCTGAAACATTTTAAATCTTAGTAAATGGATGGAAAAACTGAAATTCAGACAAACCATCATGCTCGTATATGTAAACATTCTCATCCAGATTCGTATCTGTCACAGCCTCGCTGTTTAGGATGACTATTTGGCCCGGTCTTTCTGTTTCGTCGGGTACCTGGACAACTTGACTGGACTCTTCTTTGACTGCGGTGTCATCCTCAACAATTGCATCCTCATCCTCCAGAATATTTTGTATAAGGACATCGAACTGCTTCTGATCTGCGACCTTTACAACCACACTTGTATCACTTTTGATGACAGCTGCTTCTGGCGAAGACGTCTGTGGTGGCTCAGGAGATCTAGATGTATCAGGTGTTACATGGAAAGTAGCAGCTGCCTTATTTCTTATCCTGGCACTCGGTTCCCGGGTGGGAGTAATGGGCACTGGTCGCAGGACCTTGGTCAAGGGCCTAGAAGACGCTGTTTTCTTGGCGGGTTTTGCAGCTGGTGGAGGTGCCTGGACCTCGGTAATGATGATGGGGTCCTCCGCCTTGGGATCTGTGCACCGGGCCACATCCTTCGCAGCGTCTCTTTCTCTTTCCAGTTCATCGATGTCGAACAGGCGAATGAGATTGTTGACACAGACTTCGCACAGGAGCTGTTGCTTCCGCGGATCGGGAGACACTTCCAGCTGGAAGTGCTTGGCCAGCAGGGACTGCAGTCCCAGTTCGACCCCAAACTCATCGAAGATCTCCTGGTACTGGTATTTCGTATTGAATACGCTGCAATGCAGGCAGCTATTGTTTTTCGCGTTTTCCGACATCTTAATCTTTGTCCGTCAGCAAGTTGCAGGCGCTATGGCATTTCTAGGACTTTTTTCGAGATTTACCTTGCCAAGCAACTCGGCTGTCTGGTATTTTCTTTAGAGTGACCGTCCGCCGCAAGAGCCGTTACCACGATTTAAAAATAGTTCGAAAATGTAATGCCACAAAAAGTATCGAAAAATTAAGATTTAAGTAACCAAGAAAGGGGGAAAGATGTAGATCTACTACATTTTATTCAACAATTACATTTTCGAGATATTTAACAAGCAACTGCTCATTTCTACACAATAATTTAAATTATGTATGAATGTGCATAACGTATTAAGGTGTTTTAAAAATCTGTTAAGGCTGAAAAATTTTCATGCTGCGGTTTTTCAAAATCTAACTGTTGACACGCTTTAGCAGAGCGAAGTAGCTGTAGGAGCAATTAACAATCTGAAAGAAAAACAATATAAATAGTTATTGTGATATTAAAGGACTTTCTGCTGCCCTACAGAACCAAAGGCCTCCAAGCTGAAAGCAAATGTGGGATTAAAGGTGCGAAGGAGCATCGGTGAATTGAAGCGCTGCATCATGAGCAGGACAATCCGGCGGTTTGGCCTATTCCATCCCGTCCATTGGGAGCTGTAGATGCTGTGACACAACCTAGAACTCTGGACAGTAACCTCGTTGGAGGCATAGCATATGATGAAGATCTGCCAGAGCATCACCAGCTGATAGATACTGATCTTGACCATAAAGATGGCATCACCGTTTGCAATGGACATAGTGGACATGTCGTACAGGTTGGACACCAGCACCAGAACGGAACACATGAGCTGCACAGATCCTGGCCCCCTTATGAACAGCTCCACCAGATCCTTAAGCCGAACAATCCTGTTGTAGTAGGCGGCACACTCACGCAGTTCCATTGCGATCTTTTCGTTGTCCTCGGGTTCGATCACAGGACCCAACTTTTGTAATCTCAGTACCAGCATTTGGAGCTGAACCTTAATGAAACAAAGCAACGAGTAGGCCACCGAGTCATAGGTTATATTCAAGACACAAGTGGGCAGCAAGCAAATCGAGTGGAATAGGTACTGCAACCAATAGCAGATCCATCCCTCGATGTTGCACACCTTCATCATGGTCAGTGGTAGCTCCCCAAAGTTATCGATACAAGGCACTATAAGGATCAGGGCAGCCGCGCCCAAGGACATGATGCCGTAGAAGTTCCTCATACGGACAACAGCCACTCTATCCGCTTCCAGCATCTGCCTTTCCTGTTCACTTTTAACGCCGAACTCTGGGGACAACATCATATCAACGAGACCAGCAAGTTTACGCCTCTTCAACTTCAAATGCAATAGTTTGGCCATGCAGGATATTTCGGTGGCGAACAAGAAGAATACCTTTAGGATCTCCCTTACTTGGGAAATGTTATTCAACAGTTCGAGGGAAAAAAGCAGCAGCATGATGAACAGGATGACCAGGATGAAGCCAAACCTCATGGACTGAAAGCGCCGCTGATGGTCTGCGGCCCAAGTGGGGAGCTGCCAAACGCCAAGGATCTGGAAATACCACACCTGGTACTTATAGAAGTCCGTAACCGTCTGATGCTGAGACATGCTGACTATTTGTACTTTTCCATCAGCAACCACTCGAGGAAAGCCTTTTATAGGCTACGAACCTAAATGGCTAATGAGCCTCATTATGGAAATTGGCTACAGTGCACAAAAACGTGCAACCACGAACAGAACTCACCGAGCTGAACAGCATTAGGTCAAAGCCCAGACTGGGATTTAGTGTCCTAATCCTCAGAGTCGACTGAAGGCGCTGCATGAAGAGGAGAGCAATCCTCCGGCTTCTGTAGTCCCAGTCCACCCAGGAGGTCTTGTACAGCTCGTGCGGAAGATCCAGGCTGCGCTGGGTGACCTCACTGTCGATGAAATTCATTGGTAGCCTGGTGTGCAATCCGAACAAAGCTTACCCACCCGGCATAGTAGCACAATATAAAAATCTGAATCAGCATGCACGCCTGATAGGTCACATATTTAAACAGCTCCAGCCTCTCGTCAGACAACTAAAACATATAGTTAACAAAAATTAGACGGCTGGTAATCAAGACCAAATCAATTCAATTTAAAATGAAGTCGAGCTTTCGAGTTCCAGTTTCAGTTGGCTAAGTGCGAGTTTACAACTTACCACAGCGATAGCATAAAAATTGGCAGTCAGAACCAAAACCGAGCAGAAGATCTGCACCGAAATGGGCTTGCAAAGTAGACGCTCCACGGTTTTGGACAGCTGAACGATGCTCATGTGATAGCGGATATTCTCCTTAAGTTGCTGTTCCACAGTGCCACCAGCACTGCTTAGGCGACCGATCTTGTCCAGTCGCATGGCCAGAACGTCCAGCTGGCACTTGATGAAGATGAACAGAGAGGTGCAGAGGGAATCGAAGCCAATGTTGGTGATGCAGGAGACGGACAGGGCCAGGCACTGATAGCAGTACATTAGCCAGTAAGCAGGTGAGCCAGGATTCTCGCCAAGCGGATTGTACGTCTTAAGAGGCAGGTGCGACCAGTCCAATGCGAACTGGGGTATGAGAATCATGCCCAAGGCGGCAAACGACAGCGCACCATAGAAATCCCGAAGTTTCCTGCTTCTTTCACAGGCTGCTGCGAAGATCACCTCTTCTTCGTCGCCTCTGGGACGAAACGCTTCGTCATCCAATGTGCTGAAGAGCTCCTCCATCGGCACATTGTTGGCCTTGATGGACAGCAGTTTGGTGGTGTGTCCTGCGCTGGTGGCCAGGATAAAGATGGCTTTCACAATCTCGGACATGTAGCCCAAGTGAGCCACCACATGGAGCACCAACAGTAGATCAAAGAGCAGCACCCAAAACACAATTACGTGGACATAGTTCGCCTGGTGGATGATTCTCCAAAGGCGTTCGTTCTGAGGCCACAAGGAGAAGATGTTCAAGAACGCCTTCTGGCCTTTGTAAAAGATTTCTACTCCTTTGCCCATTTCTCTGCTGGATTTTCACTGAACTTGAGGTTAATTGATCCAGTCAAGTGGTTATAAGGCTTCTCAAACGCATTTAAAATGTCATTAGGCAACCTAATCGCTGCCTAATCGTTCTGGCTCGGTTTACAATATTACATTATTAAAACAACATAACAACATATATATATAAGCAAAAAAAAAAACCCTTCAAAAAATGGTTTTCAAAATAAAGAGATTGTATAATTAACCATCGAAAGCATACATCTTCTTAGTTTACGTCTTTTAAAATAGGTGTAAAATGCAAATATAGCATTTATTTAATTTTTTTTGCAGTGCATGTCCCTTGCCTAAGAACTTTCGCCATTTTCAGCTTATGAGCGTATGTTGAACAAAAATACTGCATTATTCAGACGACGATTATTACGCGGGTTAATTTCGCACAGAGTCCAGGTATAATATGCATAAATGCTTCCGTCTTTAAAAGGGGAACTTCTTGGGATCGCAACAGAAGGTAAATCCATTGCTGGGGTTATTGGGTAGAGCGATGGGGCAATTAACTGGGTAACAAATATCCGGGCACTGGGGCCTCTCCAAGCGGAAGGTATTATTGTACGTGAGGAAGACGTACAGCCCATTGCCAGTGGCATACCGCACCACTTTGTAGGTCCACTCGGGAACTGGGATCTTGGAGCCGGCGAGGAAAGCCGACTGAAGGACGCCCCTGGTATCTGGCAATGTCAGGATGCCAATTCCGCCGGACTTGACCCGGAAATAGGTCGACTCGGGTATCTGACTGCGCACCCATCGCTCAACTTTTTCCCAGTTCCCATCGTTTATTGACTTGAATTGAGGCACCACATTCAAATATCGGAAAGTACTGCCCATCTGGTCCGTGAACAGGAAGTCCGCGGAAGCCACCATATGTCCCCGATTAATCACCAAGGAATTGGCACTGGACAAGTAGGACTGGCCATCGCCGTAAATGCATTTGAAGGCAAAATAGATGTTGGACTTCATATAAGCAGCAGCCTCCTGGGGACTGAACATCTCATCCGCCACAAAATCCACAAACGGCCGCTTGGGAACTGACCGTACACTATGATAGGGATGCAGAAGACCAAACTTTATGATTTACTCACAAAACCTTTTGTAGTAGACATCGCTCTGCGAGTACAGGAGCCTTCCTTGCTGGGAATCAAAACAGGTGCGATACAGCTCCAGATCCTTGCCTTCTATGGTATATCCCACGGCGTACAGGTCGCCAGGACAATCGCCATCGCGAATCCGCTTGGTCGTCGGTTGCATTGGACTAAAGCAGTGCATGGGCAGCCGGACTGAGAACTGTCCATTGTCCTGGCACAAAGTTTCCACGAAGTCCGTGGGACTGCAGTACATGAGTAGACTGACTCCAGAGGGAACAGTTTCCAAGCGCTGCAGTTGGATAGATCCGCTGGCATCGCGATAGGTGAAGATTCGATTTGATTGCTCTACCTCGTGCTGCGAAATTCGACAATCGCCTTGCACCTTCCAAGCTGTCGTGTTCAATCAAATGCAAATTTCACAAGCTTACAAAGTAACTCACCAAGGAGGGATATGAAATATATGTATGTAAATAATTTAATTTGAATGCAAACCATAGTGGAAAAATTTTGAAAAAATGCCAAATAGAGAAGTCAAATGAAATGAAAGTATACCCAAATGAAAAAAGTTTTTATATACATCCTAGTAGGCTCCTAGTTCAATATCCTATTTTATGAACCACGATTAAAATGTTGGAACATTGAAAAAGGGTTCCCCCATATCATTTGTAAACGCAATTAGGACACACATTTTTTGACAGTCCACTTGTGGATAACACTTTATTGCTTCTATCACATACAAAAGTTGTTGTTTGGTTGCTAGTTGAACTCTGCTTCGAAACAATTGATCAATTCTTGTATTCGTGGTACTGTACTTCAAGGTAATTATCAATATTTTAAAATTGTTGTTTTTTTTTTTGGGTTTTTTTTTTCTACTTCAAACAATTGATATTGGTGTGGATCTACAAACATATATATAATAGTTAAGTGATAAGCATACGCCATAACGATAAAAGAAATTAAAAGTAGGAAAAAAACGAATCGAAATGCCATCGCATCGGAGAATTAAATGTGCATATGTAGTCGAATATCGTAGGTGGTATAAAATACATATAAAATAAACAAAACTTAAAGTGAGAACTGAAAACGAATCTTAAATATTTTGCACTAGTTCTTTAACAAAGATTTTAGGGAACGAGGTTAGGGGGCTGCTTGCTTTTTTACTTGTTCAAAATTGCTGCGCGAAATCTCATACAAATTAAAGTCTATATAGAAAACGGTTTCAATGTGCCATCCTACTGCGTGTAAATGCTATAAACTATACTTGATTGCTCGGGTGGTGTCTACTACAGTGCATCTGCGTTGCCAAAACTTTGCTTAGTTGTTGTCCTGCTTGTTGATCAGCTTGAGGATCACCTTGCCGGCCTGCACCTCCAGCGCGTAGAGGCTGCCATCCTTGATCTCGTTGTTCAGCACCTCGTCGGTGACGGTCACTAGGATGCCCGATGGCCCCGATATGTACACGCAGCTCTTGTTGGCGTCGTTGAAGATATTGGAGCCGCTGCCCGAGTACTTGGATTGCATGCCCCAATTGTTGAAGAGGGCTGCAGCAGCTGCAGTGGCTGCTCCACCGACTCCGTTCTCCTGGGCACTGGCCTTGGCCATGAACTCGTAGAAGCCGGGCATCTTGAACAGCTTCTGCTGCAGCTCCTTGGCCGTGCTCGACAACAAGTAGATGGCATTATAGCTGCATCCATCCAAGCTGGCGTACAACGTTAGCCTGGGCGCAATAGTCCTGGTAGGTAGAAGGTTCACAATTAGAAAAGCTGTGTGATTTTCCCAAAATGGTAACACTCACTTGGCGCGCAAAATGTTGAACATGCGAATGCCATCGGCCAGTCCGCAAATTTGAATCAAATCCTCCTTGGACATGCTAAAAATAATTCCAAAATATAAATAAGTCACAAGAACAAAAATATTTGAAATGCGCGATGTGGCATGAGATAAAGATAGAACTATTACATACAGAAACCCATAAATCCATTTATAGAGTAATAACTTTTAACGCGTCAACTATCTGACGGAGTAGTTCAGCTATCTTATCAAGGCATTTAACAAGCCACAACTTTATGATTTGCTTGGTCGTAATCGATTAAATGGGGAATCATAATGTCCCTTAGTTGTTTGCCTTAAGTTACGCTATTTATTGGATGTCAGTCAACAAGGTTGCTCAACGAAATGTCTAAAACATTATATTGTTTATTGCTTGATCGTTTGAAATGGTAATCAAAAACACCGTCAAGCAGTCAAATAGCAGTCTAAAAACTAAAGCCCTTATATAGGTAAGTAAGTTAGTAAGTGGGCTGCAATCGAACGACGCATTTAATTATGCCTATCATCAAAAATCGGTTAAAGAAAACCACTCGGCTCTCCTACAAATGGGTTCGTATAAAATTGGGTCGATTAGTATCACTTAATATTACTTATCTGTAGTTCTAAGCTAATCTATGTTATTTTTCAAACTCTAATTACAAAACAACGGTTTCCAAACGATCCAGATCACATACCGCATGATATCCGCTCCCGAGAACTGTGCGAACGTAGAGAGATAGGCGGTGAGGCGATGATTGGTCAGCCACTGCGTCACTTGTGAGGGCGTCGATTCCGGCATTATGTTCTGGCTCTGATATGGACAATAAAGGTTCGTTTAGTTAGTAAGCCTGCTTGGGGAGCAGTGGGCAATGACACTTACATTGTCGTCCATGTCAGCGGGCACATGCTGCGGTGAGACCATGTTTGTGGCGTCCATCAGCTTGAGGGTGGGCGAGTTGGTCGATGTCACCGAGTTGATGGCTATGGGGCTGCTGCTGGTAGCCGGCGATGCTGCACTTGGCGCAAACGGAAGCATTCCATCGTACTTGGGTATGTGCACGGGCGAGTTTGGCCAAAGTTTCATACTGCAAGGAAGGGACATAGGAAAAGATTAGTATAAGCCTGCTTTCCAGCGGTTCCTGCATAGCCTACAAATCCAGTAGAGCTCGTTCCGTATCTGAGGCTGACAGAAGCGACGATCCTTCAGATGCAAGCGCATGTTCACGAATGCGAGGAACTCCAGCGCGAAATTCACAATTCGAATTTCCCATGGCCCCGCTGTTGCCCGGAGAATCTTGTTTGCTCTTCGCCGAGCCAGTTGCCTTGCTTAGAAGACACCTGATACGCCCAGTTGCGGCTGATTGGCCCGGCAAACCCGTTTGGAATCTATTTTATATGGCTGCCTAACCACCGGGAAAGTTTTTCAGATCTGCGTCTTTCGCCACCCACCCCCATCATTTCCGGTTTTTAGGTGTGGATAATACCTATCCATAGGCTTTGCTGCAACTGATCGATACAATCGATCCCAACAATACAAGACCTTATACAATCCGTATATCATTCGCCATTATTATCTATAGTGCTCGGAACGCAAACAAACGAAATCATTGAACAGAGACCAAAACCAAAAACCGGTTAAAAGCAACTTTAAACTAAAAATAGCTTGGAGCAGGCGCAATAACAAAAAAGACCACGGAGCACAGTGCTCTTAACTGATCTCTTAGCCCCACTATCCTTTGAATTCTCTCTACAAATCTCTCGGGATCCATACCTCTTTCTCCCCAGTTCTCCGGATCTCTCGCCGATCGAGGTGTTCTCTCTTGATATATAACACGTATCCGCTCCCAATTCGATTGATCTTTATGATTTTGTGATCATGCAAATGACAAACTGAATGATTTTCATTTGCTCTCGTTATGGAAAATTTCCACCAAAATATCTGTACGTAGCTATTCCACTTTACACTTGGTTCTAAATAAAATACATATTAATACAACCACAATGGCAACGTTTAATTGCTGGCATTGTTTGTTTATGTTTTAAATACCCAAATAAACATAAGGCTTTTGATCTTGTTATTCAAAAAGTACCAGTTCAAATACAATGTAAGACCGTACTCGTAGCACTCAAGTCTAGCACTCTAGAAATCTCAATCAATAGGCCGACCTTATCATGAGAACTGTGTGGATCAGAATGTGCTAAGACTAAGCATGGCTAAGACGCTACCTTAGGGCTCTGAGCCCCACTGTACGGTCAGATAAAGAGCAAGTACTCGTATTTACGTAATGTGCACTTGATCTTAACTGGACGTTATGTAAATGGATGGAATGGCAGCCGCTGGGTTCGTAAATCAAAAAGCTCGGCCTGTAGCTGTCGCATAAACAAGAGTTGTGGAAAAATTTGCGGGCCTCAATTGAAAGATTACGGGACAGCGCAGCGCAATAAATTGTTACCCAATTCTGGAGCAGAACCTATGACAACTGGGGAGATCTTCCCTGCCCCACAATGATTCCACATCACTCGCTTATCTGATAAATCGAAATACTCACTATTCGGGGCTGTAGCAGCCAGTTGTGGTGGCGGACATCACCAGGTCCAGGGATATATCGTTCATGATGGTACACTCGTAGCTGGGCTGGAATTTATCCTGCTCCGATTGGGGCCGCTTCTGAATCTTCTCCCGATCCTGTTTATGTTTGCGATCAGCTCCCTTTAGCTTAAATACCTGTAAGAACATGCGTTTAATATACGTTTTCTGAGTGGCTTGTGCGGAATGTGATAATTGTTAATCTTGGTCATTACACATTTATTATAAAAAGGGCAATCAAATATATTTACACTTTGTCACTTTTACAGGCAATTTAACTCAAAATCTCTACATAATGATTCACATTTTAAAAATCTTGTTGTTTACATTTTTTTAGGATAGGTATATCCAAGATATGAATTTCATGCGTAGATAAGTTTATTGGCACAAACAAATTAAAAACTTTTTATGGTACTTGTTGTTTGTGAATGCAGAGTAGCTTCTGATTACGTTCTGTTTCGTAAAATTCCGTTGCTTATTTTCGGAAGAAGTGGCCATAACTCAAAATTAAAATGGGCCATTCTCTTTCAAGATGATATCAACGGACAACACTGCATTTACGCTGGATCATTCTGTACTTGTATAAGAAGTAAATGAGAACTATTTAAGATATAGCTCACTGAAGACGAAGAGCATTCTTGTTATAATATGCTTTAAATGGAATCCTTCATCATGTGAACGGACAACATAAGGGGCTCTCTCCGTTGAGCGGACAAAAATCTTGTCTAACCAAGAACACATTAAGTACAGGTGTCCTCCCCACTCACCTTGATCTGGCAGGCAGCTGCGTGGACCGCCTGTTTGCCATTGCTGCCGCCACTGGGAGTCCGTTCCGGTGATGCTGGGGCTGCGGAGCCACTGTTTCCGTTTCCGTTGCCGCTGGCGATGGCGCTGTTGCTGTTGTTGCTGCCGCCCGAGCCGCTGGCGGTGGCACTGTTTGTGTTTTCTATATAGGTTTCAATTTGCAGTCGGAAGGGCACACCCTTCTCGCCGCCGTGCTTCTTTGGGGTAAATTCGGTTGAAATGCAGTTGACCTTGATGTAGACGCCGACCTCCTTCAGTGGGTCCCAGAAGATCTCGACAGTGTTCAGTGAGCCGGAGCTCAGTGGCTGCGACACGTGGCAGAGGCCGTACGAGAGCGGTACGTCCACCTCAATGATGCGTTCGCCTGGGCGGGATTGCTGCCATTGCTGCATCTGCTCGCGCTCCATAAACTGCAGGCGGCGCTCGTGGAAGCAGATCTTGATCACGCTCTGCAAGGGGGAATCGAAGGGAAAACGGTTTTGTGAGAAGTGGCAAGAAGTGAAGTCATTTGGAAAGTTTTTTCGCACACGCAGATTTCACATGTACATGGGATGGGTAATGCCTCACATCCCTCAAGTCGCCCGGCTTAATTGGGGCTTATTAAAATCAATTGAGCCCCACCATATACATACATGCGGTCGCACAGACGCGATGTCCAAGTCGCTCACTCGACAGTCAAATAATTCACCGCATCACATGACTCTCCGACTCAATTGGAGGCTGCGGACAGAGACTTTGGACTCACCTTCAGTATTTTATCCCTATAGAGGGACAGGTCTCCGATCTTCTTCAGCTTTATTTCGTAGCTCTGGCCTTGGTTGAGGTACGTCAGAGTCTCCTCATTGTTCTTGGTGGCAATCGACGTGGCTGCTGCTAAAATGTACTGAAATCTGAAAAGGCAAGAGTGTTATTATAATGATTAATAGTTGGTTCATAACTTTTGAGATTGGCAAAACTGTACTTCATTTCAATCTAATCGAATTTGTTTTAGAACTATTGGTTTGTAGAAAATCATTAAAAGAGATTAGAAGCACTGCTGTATAAACTATATTAAACACTTTATAACACTTACTTGTGGTCGTCCGCATGGGTAGCTCCGTTGGCGGAACCGATCTCGATTTTAGCGGGATCCAAAACGCTAAGTTGCTGGGGCTTTCCCTTGTCGTTCAACTCAAACTCCGCGTTGGCTAAGGGTGAACCCTGTGGAGAGCCACATCCGCAGGCGTTGCCGTTGGCCGAATCCTGGCCAGAAATGGCATGCGGCGGAGAGTTCTGGACCTCATCCAACTTGGCAATGGCGATGGAGGGCGATGCTGCGGCATTGTCCAGGGATACCTTGGGGCTCGGCTTGATCTGATCCGTCTGTGGCTCCTGCTTGAGGGTGGTCAGCGTAGGGGAGAACGACAGAAAGTTCTCACTGAAGGCGGTGGGAAAACGTAAATTAGCTCAAATTGGATTCAATTCCTTTGGGGGATGGGAGGGCTTAACTTACTTGTTCAAGTACGAGTTGCTGTTAAACTCGGCGTTCAGATCGAAGCCGATATCATCGCTCCAGCTGCTGCGACCTGAAAATTCGAAGAAAACCAAAAACTATATTTCAACCCATATCTGGCACGTTTGCGATTTCTTTTAGATTCTAGACGTTATCACAGACTGACGCTCAAAAACCATTGCCGACCTCAAACCGTTGACGTCAAACTTGTGCCTTAGCCAAAATAAATGCTGTGATGAATTTATAGAATGCGGCACTTGTAGGGCCATTTGTAATTAATTGATAAACACGTAAGTATAATTTTATACAGTTTGAACTAATGCTATTTTGAGAACGCGTCCCCAAAGCACTATGCACTAATGTCTCATTTTGGTATACAACACTATACTAAAATGTTCGGAGTTGAAAATTATTTCACGTTGTTTTACCATGTGGATAGATAGCCCACCTATGTATGTATATTCCTATAAGAAAAGCTTTCCCCATTTTCTTTTTTGTACTGTAACGCCGAGTCGAATAGCAAAGTAATTTTCCAAATTTTTCGTGGAATTAACACGCCATTACTTTCAATGCTTTTTACAGAATTCCTCAAAAAAGCGATGTACTTTAATGAATAAAAATTGTAATGCCTCGTTAATTGATTTAATCTGTCCACAGATAGGAATTGTAGCTGTGTGGGTTCCATCGGGCAATTCATATCTCGATCACAATTGATTCCGATCCCGAGCTATCCAAGACCGAATGACGCACATCGATTGCGCTGCTCACTCGATTCACATTGGCGACAGTGCCACAGCCAATTGTTTGATACATCGTATCTGTAAGTGCGGACATATAGGAGAACCGAATAGAATGGATGCTCCGGTTAGTTGGTTAGTTCCCTTGACAAATGGCAAGGGGAAATGGCCTTTAAGCCTTCTCTTATGTAAAAATCGAATGTGGGAAAAAGGCAGGACAAAAGCTAAAGCCATTAGCCCGGTCGAGTGATCTCAGTTCCTCCACTATAACCATCAAGTTCTGAATAGTTTGAATGATCTCAGCTTTTCCACAATCGTGGAGGTTTGCCTAATAGCCGATTGTTGTATGGCCAAACGCTAGCATTTAGTCTTATCTGCGCCGAGTGCCGCCTGTCGGCCGAATGATAAGCCATCAAAAAGAGAGGGTCGAGCTCTAGATTGGAGTCCAAATTATATGGTCCCATATGCCCCCACCCAAGTACTTCTAGCTAAAGCTATTTGATTCGAAGTGTTCCAGTGTGTCAGTCACTCGTTTTGGGGGGGGTTATTAGTACAGGGACCCTGCGTGATTTCGGTGCAATCTCGAGGGCATATCTACAAAGTTTAAAGGGTTTCGGCTGGGGGCTTGTTCGGGCCATTGGAAAATTACTGAGGGAAGATTTTATTTCTTTGGTGGCGTTCTATTATTAAAGCTCTATTGATTAACACAAGCGGAGGTGCTAAGTTAATTACTGTTTTACGGCGGGTTTTAACCATCGCAGTCTGTTAATTGTAATACGGCTACCTAATTTCGATATCAAAAGCCGTCGTCGCATGTTAATGAGTTTATGAAACTATTTAACGACCTGCTCCTCCGAGGTGCAACTCCATCTGCATCAAGTTTGCCCAACATCTCCAAACACCACGAGCTTTTAGCCCTTTGTCGAGCTCAAACTTTAATTGCGATCTCACGCACAAGTCGTATAACGCCTGTGCCTGATAGATACAATAGATACAGAGATACAGAGTAATTAGCGATCATCGTCCATTGTTTATACGCCACTTAGCACCCAACAACAGAGAGTCTCACGTTTGTCATACGGACCATCGATCGAATTAGTCGTTAGATCGATACATCTGTCTAGGCATCTCAATATCCATATATTCAGGCCTGCGCGGGGCTGTATAATCAAAGAGGCGCAACTCGGAAACGGGTTTCTCAATTACGACGGCTTCTAATTTACATACACGGGTTTCTGACTCGCTCTCGGATTCCAGATGCAATTCCAGGAAGAAGTATCAAGTCAGTTCGAGGCGTTTTTCATTCTTGCTGCTTACTTTCATTGATTACATTTTATGCAAATCACCGAGCTAATTCAACGAACAACAAGAATATGGGACACATTTTTTATAATCTTTCTGTTCTATACTTTTAAATACATTGAATTTCTTGAATCGATGTGCTGAGAGTCGAAGTAGTTTGGCTTTTATCATAATTATCGGACCTGTTCATTGAAATTAGCATTCTGTAGCTTCTGGGCTTAGGAACCACAAACAAAAAGCATTTTAAATACATTGTTCGACTCTTAAGCAGTAATAAATCAATTGACAAAACGTCATCTATGTATAGGTGGGTTCAATGGATCAAGTCTAGTAATTGTGTGAAAGTACACAGGATTCATATAATTACATTGTATACTGATTATTCGCTTTGGGGAATGCCAATCCATACCGCATTATAATCTACATAATATGGAAATATAGTATTTACGTGTTTGTTATTCTTGAAATTAGATCGTATGCTAACCCCCAAAATGATTGGGTTAAAGGTAAAAGATGTGTGAATATAATCCTTACCCGAGTGCTTCTCGCGCTTGTGCTTGTCCTTCTCCTGGTGGGCCACTTTGGTGGGCAGCTCGCCGCTCTGCGATGCTGTGGGTGAGTTCTCACTTTGGCCAATGTCCAGGGAGTCCCAATCCATTCGTCTTTTGCGTGAGCCGCTGTTCAGGTAAATGGTCTGCACGTCGATGATCTGCGGTCCCGGCGACTCCTTCGACTGTCCGTCTACGACAATCGTAATTTGTTCGATTAGCGAGCTGCTCTCTGCGAGATCGATAGATATGGAAGGTGATGGTGATGGGAATGAGGTGAGCTGACTGAACTGGATGCACTGATAGCGGCAGCCTTACCTGTCCACGATTCCTCTGAGTTTGGCGGCGAGTCAACAAAGTTGATCACTTGCTCATAGTCCGATCCGATATGCTGGTGGTGGTAGCCGCTGATTAAGTGGCGGTTTTGGATCTGGAAAACCCAAGCGCATTGGAGTTTAGTTCGAAAACGGAATTTTGACGGTTTAATCAATTATAAAACCGAAAACGAATCAGAGCCAGAGAACCAGCAGGAAAGCGTGTGTAGCCGCCAACGAGGCTATGCCCTCTCAATATAATCTCTACTGTCCAGCTGGAATACTGTGTATGTAGGTCCGAACCTTGCTGATAAGGTCGCCAGCAATCTCGCCTCAGCTCTACCAACCCTCTTTCTCCCTGACCCGAGAGAGGGAATGGGCATAAACACCCATCGATTCATGTTTATTTGCTTATGAGAACTCGGACTCGGTTTGATTCCACACAATTATGCTTCCAAAGATAAGTTCGAGCATGCTCGATGCGTGTAAACAAACGGAAAACGGTTCAGTCTGAAGAGCTGGCCAAAGAAGGCCCAGAACGTGCGGCGATATTTAAAGATACATCCAAAAGTAAAGGAAGATAAAACACATATCGACTGGGTAGAGTGAGTCCGACTGTTGACGTAACATTTGCAACTATTTATTAAGCGCTGTTCTGTTGTTTTTCCCTCTATCTGTCTACCACAATTTCGTTATATGATACACCCCGCCATATAGTATAATTAGCAATTGAACTATATATTTATATTTGCCTCAAGGCAAACAGATTTTGCTTGAAAAATGTAATCACCCACTGAAAGGAGCTTTAAAGGCGGCTGTTTCGATTCAAAAAACAAACTATGGTTTAAGAAACAGTTGTATAAATATTGCTAGCTTTAATTGGTTTAGATTCTGTGGTATTTCTAGTCTAGATATACATATAATGATATCATATGGTATTATTGTGCCGTAAAACAAATCAATTTACGAGTATGACTGTTTATAATGCTTATAATAATAATTCTACCGCATTACCTACCCTATATAACCAAGAAAAACTTAAGCGTTGGCGAACTTTTAAATGTTTAACCATATAATACATTGTAACGTATCAAATTTTGAACAAGAAAATTTAAACAAGGTTGCCCTTTATTCTTACCTGATTTAGATTTTCACTAATACCGTTAGTGGTGTTGTTGTTGGAGTTTTGATTATTGCTGATGTTGCTAATATTGTTATTATTATTATTCTGATATTGACTGCGATTTAAGTTGTTGAATTCCATTTGGTCGAGTTCGTTGAACAGGGTCAAATCGAACTTTGTTGAAAGGGTGCGATGTTGTTGAATCTGCTCCGCTTGTTGTTGTAGTTGTTGATTTTGGTGTTGTTGAATGTGATGTTGAGGGTGATGGCTCAAATGTTGTTGTTGTTGATGATGAGAATATTGTGGATCGAATATGCTTTGTAAATCCAACAGACCGGAGTTTTGGGATAGAAACGAAAGCGCCATTCGGTACGTAAATTAACGGCGTTGGAATCGCGTTTTGGTCTCTCTTAGTCCGTTCTTAATGTTGTTATATATCCTCCTGAATTATTGAACAGTGATCCGCTCTCACCCGTATTACGAAACACCACTTCCGACTGGAGTACTTTCGCCAGCAATTTTGCTCAAGTTTTTTGGTGCAATGCGAAATGCAACAAAAGTGATTGATGGTAATAGTAATATATTCGAAGTAGAAACCGTATATTGATCGACCGACACTTACTGTTTACTTGCTTAGGCTAACATTTTGGCTTGGCTTGTTCAAAATGCTTATATGACACACTTACTTAATCGTTCGTTCGTCGCACAGCACTTTGGATATACGAGGGCTAACAATATGCACTTGACGTGAGTTCTACTAACAACCAAATAATATCTCTAGTTCATTCATATATATGTAATGTATATATTAAACATGTATAACTTGCTTTCTTGTAACTTTTTTCTAACTTGGCTCACAGTTGAGTGGAATTGGAAAGGTTGCTATTGTGCGATTTTGTGTTCTTGGGGCCTTTGAGAGGGTTCGGAACTGGCCGTTGGGGGGGGGGCAAATTAAAACAAGACGAAAAACGAATTGTATAGTTTCTTGATACCGGTGGTCTCGCGCTGACGATGGCTTCGAAGTAGGGTATTCTCGATTTTTAACAGCATTTTGGTCCGGAGATACATATAGCTCGATTGCGACTGATATTCATTAGACATGCGTTGCAGTCGTATTTCAGATTTCTCCATTTATCGCTGAATTTGTTAGCCCTTGTTGTAAGCTCAAGTGTCTTTACGTTGGTTCTGCTGTACAGGTCTCACTCGATCTGGTGAAACTTGTCACTGGTTGCGGCGACTTCTAGCTCTTTGTGCTGCTGGTTGTTTGGACCACTGTCAGATGGCGACGGACATTATATAGCAGTTGTTTACGCTGAAATCCAATATATTGTATGTGTGTATATTTCACTGATAACAGACTTCGCTTGCTTTCCTTCTGCAGTTGTTGGTTCGCTTTTGAGTTTGGTTTCGACTAATTTCGCTGTTTATTTGGTCACTGTCAGATATTTGACATTCCAATTGGGCACTTTTGGGGGTTCTTTTCCAAAAAAAATTGGATTTGCAACGGCGATTATGTAACTTTGTTTTGTTATACACTGTCAGAAAGCTGGCATTATCCCGATCGTATTACCACTGTTAGATTCTTGATAGCGATTGTTGGGCTAATTCCCTAGATTTTTTGCGATTTAACAATTTGATTTGGACACAACTACTCGGTTTGCTCGACGATTTAGCTCTGGCTTGCACTGACTTTACGACTTTACTGTGAAGTTGATTCGCTGGGTTTCGTTTCTCTCTTTTTTTTTACTTAGTATAGGTGTTATCGCGAAATTTACGTTTGTGTTGGGGTGTTATATATCAAGCGGGCGAGATGCCAGTTTCTTGGATCGTCACTTTTTATTGGGGCCTAATTTTTGCGGTGACTGTGAACAGGTTTTTTTCGGGGCTAATTATTCACAAATGCTCTAAGCTTTCATTAGACGAATTAGGCTGTTTTTGCAGCGATTTTAGTTTATTTCACACGATTTAGCACTGTATTTACGACGAAGCGAAATGGAACGTTTTTTTATCTGTGGATTCTGTTTGGCGATAACGATAACGGTACGATTTCGGTGGGTGGTGATAACTTTTTCTGCCAATTCAATGGGTTGTGTTTTTGCAGTTTTGCGTTTTCTTATTTATGTGGCCGGACTTGCTAGCGTGCTAGAGGAGCACTTTTAATCCGACGAAGCGAGGCTTCGAAGAGCCCAAAGAGACGAGCATTTTGTGCGGCAGAACCTTGGTCGAGCGGCAGCCAACGCGGACACGAGGTTAAAATATCAATGAGTTGTGTGAATTTTCGCCGTTAGCGGGAAACTACAGATACACCAGTTTCGGAATCAAAAAATACAAAAAAAAAAGTACGAAAAAAGTCAAGAAACAGAGCGTTCCAATCAAGACAACGTCGCCGTTACAAACACAAGCAAAGATCGCGATTCGCGGATCGCAGACGAATGCGGCAATAACAACAAGCACTTGCGATTACGGAGGCGGAACGGGAGCAACTACGCTCACACACACACTTTTCGGAATAATGCCGACCCGAAGATTCAGATGCTGACAGCAAATTGATGCGGATGCTGCTGCTGCGCTGCTTTTCCTCTGCCGCCTGCTATCACTCTAATTGATTGTGGCAACAACAAAAGTGGACGTCGTATTCATTGGAGTGCACACAGACACATTGACCACCTCTCTCCCACAATTGAAAGGGCTTTGGATTGTTGATGCTGATGTTGCTGTTGCTGTTGTTGTTGTTGCTGCTACTGCTGCACTTGTTGCTCGACGTTCCGTTACTCTCAGTTCGAATCCCAGCTGTTTTGCACGTTCTTTTGTGCGCCTGCGTTTCGCGGTGAATGGCAAGAAGCGGACTGCGACTACACAATAACAAGTTTAATTAATTGAAGTTGAACGCTGTGGTCTGGTGGGGGCACTTTTTTCCTCAATTTGTTTGGCTTTTTGTTGCTCCTGCAATTGAATTCAATCTTTCGCTGGCATTTGTGTATATCAATTATTTCATTCCTTTCTATTTAATGATGCGCGCGTCGATGACGTATTTGACTTTTGGCACGCACACTCAAAGACGCAAAGAACGAGATGAAAAAAGATTTCGGGGTCTCGCTTGTTCTTGTTACGCGCTTATTAAGATTTTCCGCTCGTGATAAACACTAGAAAAAGCGTCAACGTGTTAAAATTTTCTGCTGCCGTTGCTGTTGTTGCTTTGTCGACTATGATGATGCTGCTGTTGTTGTTATTGTTGTTGTCGTTGTCGTTGGTATAGTTGTTGCTCTTTTAGATTAGTTTACACTCCCGCAATATATAGCTGAACATGTGTTTTAACGCCGATGGTACGAAAAATACTGATTTGGTGAGCGAACGTCACAAAGCTAATATTAAAATACACTAGCCCGTTATGTATTCTCTCTTTGCTCTCTCATGCTCGCTCCAAAAGAGCTCCAACCCGTCGCGCTCTTTACCCACAAATACCGATGCCCCAATGTAAGGGTCAGTCTGTGTATGTGTGTGTGTCTGCGTGCGCCTTTGTGAAATGCAAGTAAAACAAAGGCAGGGCCAATTTACCGTGGCACGCACTTTGCAGAGCAACCTACATATGTACATACATATTCACTTTCCCGTTACATATGTATGTATATCCTTCCAGGCGAAGGCGATTCGGCTGACTTGCATTTGTTGCTCCAAAACAAGGCAACAAAATTCTTAGTGCTATTTATCAACAAGAACAGCTGTGCCATTAGTCGCTGCCCCAAAGAGCACATACTAAGAGCGCACCTGCTTTTTTTGTGTGGGCGTATGGCGTTGATCTGTCGTTAGGGTGGACCTCCTCAGACCTGTAAAAATTATTGCGGCACTGCAGCACGAACCAGAAGCATTGGAAAAAGAAAAAAAAGTTCTTATATTCCTCGATCATTTCCTAGTAATTTTTTTCTGAAATGGTGCTATAAATTATGTATATCGATTTCTTATATTCTTTTCAGCTTTGTAACTAGTGACGGTACTCTAATAGCAACTAATTGGTATCCACCGATATCATTCATCTCAATCCCTAGATCGACGTGCTAAGAAAGGCCTTAATTGACAAAGCCATGTGCCGAATCGCCAAATTTTTGGGAATTGAACGGCTTTATTATTATTCTCTGTTGTAGTGCTTCCTTTTACAGTTGTTCAATTGAAGGCAATATTAAATATTTCTCAATTGTTTTTAAATTGCCATCAATAACGGGGTCCAACTGAAATTAATTTATTTTGCACAATGAAAGTCAAGGCGCAATTGGATGCAATAAAGTGACTCGTATGGAAAAACTTCATTCATATTGGTTGCACGTTTTTCTTTTTTTTTTTGAACCTCAAATAAGCCAGCATCTGTCGCTTTGGACTTTGCAGACAAAAATTAGCGCTTTTAATTCCCATAAATTAACATCATTTGGCTTAAAAATACTCTTTATGGCCATTGATTAAAAATGTCGGCGGTCATACAGAAAAGTTAAACCTAAATTATAAAGCGTAATATGAAGTGAATGGAGCTACAGGTCTCGAAATTAGCACGGAAATAAAATTTGTTAGCATCTAAGCTAGTTCTAGGTTAGCGTTTTGTACCGGGCCCAGAAGCGTTTGACAAGTTTAGCTTCGGTTAATAAAATACTTGGTCAAATTAAACAGGAATTTAACCGTATTAAATTAAACGACTATCAATGCACTTGAAATATTGTTGAAGCCGATCAGTTTATTCATAAAGTCATATTGGTAATTGAAATTATGGAAGGTACGAATTTCTTTTCTTCTTTGAAAAGCATGAAATGAATTAACTCAGATAAGTTTTCCCGGAGAAAATGTATTTTACCCTATAACAGATACAAGTTAAAAACATTATTTGTGTATAATATTCATATGGCCGGAATCCCCCCATTATATGTTTTTCGCTTTAAGCTGTATTTATCTTTCTTTATGCATCCGGCCACATTGCTAAGGTCCCCAAACGGAACTAGGAACTGTGCTTCAATAAATGTTCTATAACAATAATATTGCAATTGTTTCTAATTCTTAGTTATGAATACTAGCTTATAGTTATACGCTTATAGGTTTTACAAACGACCTAACCTTTCGTTGCATTGTTCAGTGTGAACCTGCCGCTCTTCGATGTCAGAAGGCGCGATTTGTCTGAACCTATCGAAGCCTATCGATACGAAAGTTTGTTTATCATTGTTATTCGGCACTTTGACCATCAAAATGAGTTCCATTAAGGTAAGTATATGTTTTCGGGTCAGGAGCCTTGCTTCCATGTTAATGTGCAGATCGAATTTGCAGTGCAGATGCGAAAAGGGGACGAAGGCTATGCCGGAGCACTCCGTTCGGCGCTGGATGGCGTTGGCCAGGTCGAAATCGACACCCAGGAGGGTCGAGTGATCGTCCAGACCCAACGACCTTGGTCCGAGATTCAAGACAAGATAGAAGCCACCGGGGTCCGGGCGGTTCTCTCCGGATTCGGAGGGCAGTCGGCGGTGGCCCTTATTAATACCACAGGAAGTGTAGTGGACAAGACACCTATCCAGGGAGTGGTTCGATTTAGCACCATCACCGCAGACAAGGAGCCTGGAGTGGTGGTGGATGGCGTTGTGGACGGTCTATCGCCCGGACTGCACGGATTACACATTCACGAGAGTGGTGACACGTCCGCAGGTTGCTCGTCCGTCGGAGATCACTATAACCCCCGCCAGTCGCCACATGGAAGCCCTGCAGCTGCGGTAGAGGAGCGGCACGCGGGAGATCTGGGCAACATCCGAGCCGATGAAAACGGCAGGGCCACCTTCAGATTTGTGGATCCAGTGCTTGAGGTCTGGGACATAATCGGGAGGGCCGTCGTCCTTACAGCCAATGCCGATGACCTGGGACGTGGAGGCAATGAACAGAGCCTGCTTGACGGAAACTCTGGGGAAAGGTATACAGATATGCTCAATTTTTTCTATCATTGACTTGTATAACTTTTTCCCACCAGGATTGCGTGTGGTATAATTGCTCGTTCGGCGGGCATCTTGGAAAACTTCAAGAGAATCTGTGCATGTGATGGGGTGACTCTTTGGGATGAACGCAATAAGCCATTGGCTGGCAAGCAGCGCTCACAAAAGCTGTAACCTTGTTTCCATATGTGACCTTGTAAATAAAATTATCTTATCTCTAGATGGCCCTTTTTTTCCAGAAATTTCTTGGGTCAAACTCTATAGAACTTAAGTACTTATTCGGTATTGAAAGTTACAAGCTTAAAAAACTACATTCCCAGTGATGGATTTTAATGTTTTTAAAGTTTTATTTAAAATATTTCTTTGCTTTTTTTTGCTTTGTATTTTTTAATTAAAATTAATTTGCTTTTTAATTATTATTATCTGTTTTGCTCTGCCAATAACTACGGGAATCGTGTGATGTTCGTGTAAAGTGGTGGTTAACTACAGTTGGTTTTTGCGGGGCGTTAAAACCGAAGAACATACAGACACGTTTGTTGTACTTGATAATAATAATAATAATGAATAATATTCGAAATGCCTACTGCATTTGACATTAATAGATATATGTGTATATATTAATTTGATTCCTCCGTTAACACTACGGCGCATGCCCCGATCCCTAGCCCATTTCCGTGGGGTCAGGTGAACGACGGCATGCACACTTTATATGTAAATAAGTGGTAAAAAATATGTAAAGTGTATATGCGTAAGTCCTAATGCTTATTTACTGCGTTTGCCGGGCGTATTTACATATCTGTTGGCCTTTTGTACTCTACGTGCTTTCTTCGCCTCCTCCGGCTCCTCTAGAGCCTCCGATTCGGGCGCCACCTTGTCCGCTGCCGGTGTCACCCCCAAATTCTTGGACACCGGACTGACAATCACACCGCTCCGCTGATGATTGCCATAAAAAAGTTTTGGAGAATAACCGCCCGCAGCTTTCGCAGCTCCTGCATTTCCGGTGGCCACCGACTGTAATTGGGACTGGGCAACCTGTGCTGCCTTCGAGGTGGACGCTATGGCATTGGACTGGCTCTCTGATGGCATCTTGCGCTTCAGATTCTTGGCTGCTGTACTCACGGCCAGCAGCTTGGCCGTGGTGGACTCATCCGGCGAGGCAAACTCCTTTAGCTCGCCGACACTAACATCGCTCTCGGCATCCGCATCGTCGTTGATGATGATAAAGTGCTCGGGATCCACACCCTGGTTGACCAGCACTTGAAAATCCTCAGGCGGCACCACAGGCGTCACCTTCTGGTTGCACGAACTGCATACGGCAGGGATGGCTGGACTCTTCGAACGCCAAAACTGGAGCTCCGTCTTGCACTTGTTGAGCTCCTGCAAGAAAGAAATTTAATGCCAATCAATAGAAGGTAGACCCTCGACTCACCTGCAAAAGGGTGGAGAATTTGCGAGACATCTCCTCGTTCTTTTTGTCGTTTTCGTCCAGACGATTGGCATACTCCAGCGTCTGCTTCTGCTGCTCCGCCAGGAGATTTGATTGCTCAGCCAGCTGCTTGCTCTGCTCGGCGGCCTTGCGCTTACAGGTGCGAAGATCGGTGCGCAGCACCGTTAGCTGGTTATTGTATATCTTCATGCCTTGCTTGATCTTCCGGATGCCCTTGCGGAGCACCATGTGGTTTTGAGGCGGCGAGTTGCTGGCGCTGTCTTCGAGATCTGAACTGATGGCAAGCGTGGCTGTGAGGGTGGAAATCCTGCTTAGTTAGTTGCCGACTAGGAAAATAACTTGAAAGCACTTACGTCGCTTTGTTGTGGTGGGCAGCGTATAGAAGTCCTTGTTGAAATACGCCAGCCCAGGGAGCGTGGACTCTATGCGGTCCTTAAAGTATTCCATGGCCATAGTGGAGAGATCGAAGAGCTCGTCGGTAACACGATAAGGTCGCTGCAGTCTGGGCGTAATACTGATATAATTGAGAATCGCCTGGACTTCGTCTAGTATCTGAAAATGAAAAACCTTATTAGCGCTTGTTGGGTTCGAGTAGGTCATTCACTGCACTTACGGCGCCCGGAAAGAAGCAACAGTGGCCCCGCTCGATGTGCTTGCCCATGGACATCTGGAGCAGGGATAGACGCATGTAGCACGTCTCGATGATGTCGCACTCGCAGGCGAGCGGATGATTACGACGGTGGGACTCCCGGCGCGGCATGCTGGCCTTGATCGCCTGGAAGCGGCTCAACGTGGTCTTGATCTGCCTGGAGAAGGCTGCGTTCAGCATGGCCATGCAAATGTCGTTCATGCGATGCGACACCTGCGAGTATGCATATCCGGGATTTTAGTTAACAGGGGGGTAGATAAACAGCTAAAAATGTGACTGCCTTTGGGCTTTGGGTTAAGCTAAGCTCAGATTCCGATTTCCTTTTTTTTTTGGCTGCTGTGCCCGCATTCATCCACGAGCTAGTGGTTCTGCCTGTTATTAAATTATATCAGATTACATTTGTCTCCGCTACCTACGACAAATAACCGTGCATACATACACAACGAATTGTGGATGGGAGACGCGGGTGCAGGCAGAAATACCAACGAGAAACAAACAACGAAGTGTAGTTACCCTCTGGACCTCAACCTAAAGCTGTTCTGTGAAAGTATTCTGGGAATTATTTTATACCTAGTCTGACTTCGTGACTTGTTAGGGGCAGATATTTCTATAATTGGTATAATTTGGTATGTGGAATATTAGATCTCTATATTTGAAAGTGTATAATAGGATAATTAATTTGCCTTGTTCTTCATTCATTTGAATGATTTGTGTCGAGCAAGTCGTTTTCTCACAATGTTTGGGATTTTAGCCCATTACGTCGCGTTTTTAAAACCACTAAATCTTAAAAGTGTAATCATTTTGCTATGCCCCCCACCCAAAGATACCGAGTGCTCTGCTAAATATAAGCATTCGCAAGTGCATGTGCCATCGTGACAAAGTTTTAATTGCCTCCTGCCAAGGGAAATCCGAAATCCGTCGAGGAAAGTGCAAAGTATGGCGAAAAATAATGCTCATAACAGCAGAGCGGCAGAATTCACCATATGTATATTGTACATAACAAAACAGGCATACAAGTGCAGGTAGTTTGTTGGTTGGATAACCCAGCCGTACCACGCTTGCACTTGGGCAAATTGCTTTTTATTGATTTAATAGCCAGCACATTGGGCGTAACGGAGGGGCAGCAGTCCACTTACCAATCTGAGATTTGAAACTTTCTTGTAGTCCATGTAGCTGAGGATCATCTCAATCAGCTCGTTGGGAAGATCGTACAGGCTGGTTGCGCTGCTGGTGGTGGTGGTGGCTGTCGGTGACCGCTGCCGTTGCATCTGCATGGAGTACGAGTGGTGGCGAGTCACCGCGCTGGCGGACTCGGCCAGGCTGCCCGCCGAGACGACGCGATAAGAGCCCTGGGCCTGGTTCTGTCCCTGGTGAGCCTGATAACTGGTGGTTCGCCGCAGGACGGAGGTTCGGTTTGCCGTTGACTCCGGAGGCTCCTGTACTCCAGTGGCCGATCCTGATGCCACTGCTGATCCAGTACCCATTCCCGGTCCAGATCCCGATCCCGCGCCCCCGAACGGTGAATTCCCCTCAGAAGCGGACGTACCGCCTCCACTGCACATTTGGCGGGTGGACACCATTTCCTTCTGCTTCCAGTGGCGTTTCGGTGCTAAATGGACAGAATTCGTATGCAGCAGCGTTTTGGAGTTGCTGCAATAGGGGAACACACACAAAACACAACGAATATACCCATTAATTCGACAATATACATATATATGTAGCGTCTCTGCTGCTTTTTATACCCCTCTCCCCCTCCCCCCTCCACCCAACACTTTTGGAAATTTCTTTAAAATTTTGTGCTACGCACTTTGCAACTCGAATTCGAGGTGCCTTCGTACCCGTTTTAGTAAATGGAACTATTGAGTTTGCATTGTTTTTGGACGCGCTTCACCGTGGTCCAATATGTCTAGTTCTTTGAGACGCAATTCATCCACGCTGACATCCACTTTAACGCCGTTTTTTCGAGCACAATTAAAACTACATACACAATCCGTGGCAAAAAAAAAAGTCGAAGTGTCTAGGGCTGGAAGCGTACCGATGGCACCAACAATCGATTGCGCCGATAGCTTGCAAACATTGGAGTTGCTGCAGAAACATCGATTCTTATAGGCCGGTTCCACTGAAACATTGCTGCAGTGTATGTGTTTCCACTGCGCCCTGCAAAACCATCATCGACTATGTATGGTTTATCAGATATGATTTTTTTTTAAATTCTAGCGCACTTCCACCATACAAATGAAAAATCGAAATCGCGAATAAATTGTGCCAACAGGTTTTTGAATATGTATTTAGCACGTCGTTACAAATAGATCATTGCTTCGTTCGATAACAATACTCGAAAAACATTTTGCAGATAGAATTTGTTCCTTTGACTGGGTAATTTGTCCAAATACTATAACTTTTAATTTAGTTGGGTTGAAGAACCAACAATTACGATAACATGCGAAACGGATTCCCCTAATAGGTCGCCAGACTCTTCGGAACGGCTGCAATGTAGAATGAACTATTAACTTTAACGTTAAACAAGTATTCGAGATACGAAATTGAAAAATACACGATATTTGGATAAATCATAAGAAAGATTCGACTGGCGGGCAATATAAATAAGTTATGTATTTGTGCGTTTTGTATGCGTCTGTATATGATGAAATACTTTCGTATGTGCCGCTGTCATGGGCCCCTTCGTCTGATCATGGTTAAAACCATAAAACGGATCGGATGCGGTGCCAAAACAAGTGAAAAAGCGAACACAGAAACAGATTCGAGGGTGCGGATAGGAGGACATTGATGCTTCGATGCAGCGATGGTGGTGGTAAGCAGAAGTGGGGATCAGAGTCCAGATCCGCGTCCGCTTAGGCGACGGCGTCGGTGTCACACTCCTCCTCGACGGTGATGTACATACCCTCCTCCTCGTAGGCGGAGTCGTGCTTGGCCAGGATACGCAGCAGGGGACGCAGGCGCAGCCACCACTGCTTCTTCGGGATGCGTTGACTGGAAGATGAGTTGATTATGGTTATTGGCTTCATTGTGGTCCACTATTGGGTTAAACTTACTCGAAGTTCGTCTCGGCAATGAGGTCGACCAGTGGTGAGAAGCGGTACTGTCGCGACACGATACCCAGCAGGGTGGCGGTGTCCGGGGACTTGCAGTTGACCACTCCGTTGGCGTCAATGTTCGCCTTGATCTGGGTGGCCAGCCAGTCGACACACTTGGCGGCCATTTTGGTGCCCATGTTGCGGTCGAAGGGAGTGGGTGAGCCGCCCTGCTGCATGTGACCCAGGATGTTCATCCGGCAGGTGAAGAGACCCTTTCCCTCCTCCGAGTACAGGCGGTAAATGAAGTCCGTGGTGTAGTTCTCGCTAGCCTTCTCGTTTCGCAGGATCAGACCGCGGGAGACGCCCTCGGCCATCTTGGAGGCCATGTGGTAGACATCCTGCTGCAGGTCCTTGATGGAGAACTTCTCCTCGTAGATATAGGCGGCATCAGCTCCGCCGGCCAAACCGGCCAAGGTGGCCAAATAGCCGCAGTAGCCACCCATTGTCTCGATGACGAACACGCGGCGCTTGGTGCCCTGGGCCGATTGACGGATACGGTCGCAAATCTCCGTAATCTCATTCAAACCGGTGTCGCATCCCAGCGAAAATTCTGTGCCGGGCACATTGTTCGAGATCGTCGATGGAATAACCACAATGGGGATGCAGAACTGTGGGTAGTTGTCCCGCTGATCGGCGATCTGTCCGGCGGCATGGTAACTCTCAAAGCCACCGATGATCAGAAGACCCTGGATCTTGAACTCCTTGAGACGAGCGGCGATCTCCTTGAACTTGCCCTCAGGCAGAGTGCGTTTGGTGCCCAAGTAGGCGCCACCCTGACCAACCCATCCTGAGACATCGGACCTGGAATTGGAATTGAACTTAAGCACAGATTCAGAAGGGTACCCTTGCAGGAGCACTTACCAGCCCAGCTCGCGAACATTACCGGCAATCAGACCCTCGACACCGTCGTTGATTCCATAAACCACATCACCGCGGTAGATGGCATTTCGCACGAAACTGCGCACAGCGGCATTCATACCGCAAGCTGGAGCACCAATGTGCATCACAGCTAGGCGGTATCCTTCGATGCCCTTGCCATCGGCGTCGAAGTTCTCCTTGGGTGGCTTCAAGCGCGTCAGCATCTTGTAGGTCTCCAGATTCCGTTCGAAGGAGCGTCCGCGCAGCTTGACAGCATCCGCCCAGCGTTTCTCCGCCATGGCCTTGGCCACAGCCTGGGTGCGCTCAACGCACTCCATCAGCGGCACGCGAACTGCCTGGTTGCCATCCAGAGAGATGACCACTGGCACCGAGTCCTTGGTGGCCTCCATCAGGGCCAAAGTGGCTTCAGCTCCCATGCGACAAGCCTGCGAAGGGGAAACTCATTAGTTAACTCTCAATATTGGCGTTTAAAAGTATGCTACAAAAATGTAACTTTGCTAGAAATGCATTTCCAAGGAATCTTCAGTAAAGTACACACCAAAATACGATCGAAGGCACTGGGATTGCCACCGCGCTGCACGTGACCCAAGACAGTGATGCGGGCATCGTGCTTCAAACGCTCGTCGATCACCTTCTTCACATCCTCGGCGGTGATGGGATGACCCTCGCGATCCATGGCTCCTTCGGCGACGATCACGATGTTCAGGCGCTGGCCAGCAGATCGCTCCTGTTGGTCAATTGTGAGGGAATTCATTTAAGAATACATATATGCAAGATGCCAATCGTGGAATCGTGGATGATACAAAAACTACTAGAGCACAAACGAGTTATGAAGAGTCATGATTAGCGGACATCATCACTACAAAAATATGTATTTTACGTATACTTATGCTTTGCTTTACGATGTTGAACGAGTGTGTCACCAAATGTGTAATCAGCAAGCGTATGAATACAGCGCGTTTCAGAAACATATGGCTGTGTGCACATTCGTTTAAATGTGTTTAGCCACTCAGTTTTGAAACGCACTGCAGCACTGAATAGGTGTTTTGAAGTATGAAGAATGGACGCACAAGTCAAAGTCGAATAAAACATTGATGAAGATTTACAGATCGATTAAACGAGGATGGACGTTAGTGGAGTTGGGAAAGTTAGTAAGGGAACTCAGTGACATTATGAGCACATAAAACAGAGACCCAAAGACCCAAAATAAGTAAATCAAATAGCTGTTAAAGCTGTTTATCGCCATGGAAATTTCGGCACATCGAAAAGGCCCAAAACAATGCAGAATAAAATTTAGAAATTCAAAATTTGACAAAAAAGGTAATTAGAAATTAATTGGATAGCGAAGGACTCTGGACCTGACCTGTTGGAGCTTGACACAGATCTCGTCCTTCCAATTGACTGACACCGGCTCCTCGGGTATGAACATAAAATCACCCTCTGTGGCTATGGCTGCCGATATGGCTAAGTAACTAAAAAAACAAGAGATTAAGTACAAAAATAACAGATGGTTCACAAATGTCGGGGATCGTCATTAACGGGATATTGGGAGTATCTGGGGTAAACTTAAAATTAGTTACAATATGATTTTGGTATGCTGGTACAGACAACAACTGTGCGTAATTCATTCCGTATCTCCGTTTGTGTTTAGAGAATCATTCGTGTGCAGTAAGCAGAAAATAAGAATAAGCTTTGTATGGCAAGTGTCGCTCTTAAAAATTGTGTCTTAAAAAATGGTATACTTAAAAGTACAAGTGTACTACTTAAGCATTAAGCAACGACAACAGCACTGAAGTATACAACTCTATTTAGAAACAGGAATATTATCTCGACAGCTTATTATACAAATTCGACATATATTGTAAATTTATTTGAAAATCCTTCTTCTGCGTGTCAATCGGCGTTTCAAACACCTTAAAATTCCTATACAAGCTGTCGAGAACATATTTCTGAAGCTGTTGCGAGACTTTTCTCAGTGCTGAAAGAATGGAGATGGAAATGGAAATGGAGCTGCATCTTGCCTGGGCCAGCTGAGAGCAGAGCCTGTCTGGCCAATCGACCTTGGGCGGCATTTCGGGAATGAATATGAAATCCGCCTCGCACGCCAGTCCGCCCACAAGAGCTAAATAGCTGCAAAAATATATTACAAAATATTAGTCAAAAGGGGGATAGGATTTTGGAGGAGATGGGGACACTAAGAAATCGATCGGCGATAGAAACAGAAATGTGCGAAATGAGTCGACGACATTCAACAGATTTCCGTTTGGGCTTGCCTGTTCCAACTTGAGGACAAGTCGATCGGGCCAATCTGCCTGCGGAGGAGATTCGGGCAGAAAGACGTAGTCTGCCTCGGAGATAATGCCAGCTACCACCGATAGATAGCTAGAGATAGTCGTTCCAGGCATTAGCTAAAATCCCAATTAATCACTGACACTTAGGCTAACACATAGGCAGCCCAACTTTGCTCGCAAATATATCCGTTTAGATATCAACTTACCCGCAATGACGACCCATGACCTCCATGATGAAGGTGCGCTGATGCGAGTAGGCGGTACTGGAAATGGCATCGATGGCCTCGATGATGCGATGCAGGGCCGTGTCCGTGCCGATGGTCATGTCCGTGCCACAGAAATCGTTGTCAATGGAGCCCACCTACAAATAATTCCATCCATAAGTTGATAAATCGCAGGAGACCTCTGAGGGACCTCTTACCAATCCAACGATGTGCAGGACATTGAACTTCTCCTGCTGCTCGGTGGTAATGGTCTTGTTTTTGACCAGCTCGTCCAGCAGACTGGACCACTCCTGACGGAACAGATTGGCGCCGGTGAGGGAGCCATCGCCTCCAATGACCACCAGATTGGTGATTCCACGCTGGATCAGGTTGTTGGCGGCCTTCAAGCGACCCTGACGCTCACGGAAGTCCTGGCAACGGGCGGAGCCAATGATGGTACCACCACGATGGATGATGGACGAGACTGAGGCCCAGTTAGCCTCCTGGATGCAGTCACCTCCATCTACCATGCCCTGGTAGCCTTCACGGATGAAGTAGACCTTTCGGAAGATAAACACGAAACAATTATAGATATGGTGTAAACCAGAAAAGAGTTTTTTATCTTCATGGCGCATGACATCATTAGCACATTTAAACATGAATCATCGAATTAGAGTTTATTATTTTTCATTTGTAGACTGCCAAATTGGTGACATTTTTTTTGGAAGTATAGGAAGAATTTTATATATATTATTTAAAATTTTTATTTTATTTATTTTTTATACATTTTTCAATAAATCAACCACTTTATAACTTTTAGTGAAGCACGGAAGTATAAATTGAAGTTTTAAACATACAAAACATTTACATATTCAAAATACCGTTACAGGTATGTAATCGAAATTAAATCGATACTTTTTAAGCAACTCACATAACCAAATATTCAAATTTTATAACGCTTTTAATTGATAAATGAAAAAATAACAAACAATAATGATGTCGAGGCACTTGTAGATTAAATACATAGGTTAGGTTAAGTGGTACTGATTAGCAACCATTTGAACAGAAATTTGTTTAGTATGCTCATGTATATACATACAAACGTACACCCAATTGATTATTTATTAATTTTGTTCAATTCATAGAACATATCAAGCGCCGTCATGCTACGCGTGCCAATAACTTTACTTTTATTGACCCCCAAGAATTTAAAATCAAATAAATAGATTTTAATCAATTTAAATTGGCTAGCAATTGACCAATTTTTTTTTGCATATTTTCGAGGGCCCAACAGCCAGAAATTTCCTACCAAATTAATGAACACATTTAAATAAGCCGAATGAATAGAAACCAAGAGCGACAACAAAAAACGAAACAAATTAGCCGAAATCAAAGTCGCATGTGGTGAGGGGGCCCGAAAATAAACCCAATGTCAATGTGCATGTACACATATATTCTTGAATTTCTTTTCGCACCGATTGGAGATTATCTAACTGGCTTTGTGGTTCAACGGCTGCTGATAAGCAAATTGCCAGGTGTTTTACGTAAATTTCTGGGTTCACATGGGTCTGTTGCCTGTGCTCGGGGGTCGGGGTCACCGGACGCGAAGCTGCGTGGGCGGAAAGTACTTGACAGAGGTCACCAACTCACCTTGCAGCCCAAATAGATGGCCATACGCACACAGGCTCGGACGGCGGCATTCATGCCCTGGGAATCCCCGCCGCTGGTGAAGACCGCCAGTCCTTTGTCCTTCTGCGAGCCGCGGGCCAGGAAACGTTGATTAATCTCGGAATTCATATTTCTCACTTTTTCACTATATCTCTAACTGGGATCGTAACGGCTATCGCACAAAGCACACACTATGAACCACTATTGGACTCGGAAGGGAGTTTCCCTGTATTGCAGCTATGCGAGTCGCGCAGCTGGAGCTGGGTTATATCCAAGTGGGCTATAAATACTACTACTGCTCCTTGCCGTGGCTTTTCAGTTACTAGCAATATATATGGTCGCAGGCGGTATTCACAAGTTTCGCTTTTGCTTTTGACGTTTCAAGGTGACCTTCAGGCCAGAGACGCATACACAACACACACGGACACACGCACACAGCCACGGGCTTTCTGTAAGTGCGTACTGATGCAATGCAGACTGCGGATGGTTAAATCCGGCTAAGAGTTCGCTCCAACGCGATTGCCCTTCGATTCTTTTGATTAAGGTTGAAAATTGGTTGATTCTATCTGTGATGAACGGACTTTTCGCGACTAGCAACGAGCGGAAAATAGCGTTTAACCAATTTGTTTACGTTCGACCCACAATCGTTCAGCTGTTGATCAGCTGTTTATCACTGGGCGAGTAAAAGCTTTCGCGAGCTTTCACCGCTGGGAATGGGAAGTTCGGGAGCTGTCATCGGTTGTGGGTGGGTGCGATAGCCGTTATCGATATCGTTCATTTCAGCCGTTATTTTGTCTTTTAAAAAACGCAAGATGTAACCTACGCCGTTATCGTTATCGTTAATTTAAGCCGTTATTCTGTATTTAAAATTAACCTGAGATCTTTAAGCTACAACGACAATTAATAGACTACATGTTAAGATCTCACTTCAATAGATAAAAGTATTAAACTGGACCTGCAAATCGACCATCTGCGTATTCCAAAATAGAAAGGCTTATATGGTTGAATTAGTTCTCCTTTGAAGCCGTAATTATTAAAAACTGTAAAAGTTCGAGAAAAACTTACAAAAGGCTTGATTGGATGCACAAAATCTATAACATCCTGCATGGTTCTCAAACACTTTCGCAGCTCTTCTAGCGACTTGCCACATCGCTTTTTTGGTACACTCTTTTTGTTTTTTCTAACATTTTTTTCAGAATAATTACTAGCATTGAGAAATCCGTTGTGCACATTTTTTAATGGTTTTCCACATATTTGCACAAGTTTGTCATCTTTTTTGTTTTTATCGCTAGGACTATCATTCTTTTGATCACCGGAATAACTGTGCGACTGTATAACATTTCGATTCCAATTAAATTTTACATTTAAAAGAGTATTTCCTCTATGCCTGTAAAAGGAAGAAGTTTTAAAAAGCCCCAATGATTAAAAGCAATTACGCAGTTAGCAATTACGAAATATCTCGGGGACTACACAAATTATGACTTCGAGTACAATGGATGTCGATGCTTGGAAAAGTCAGCTAAGAACGAGAAGTCCAATAAGTTGATACGATTTAAATTTGAATATTACCTTTTGCCTAATTGGGGGTGTTTTGATTGAGTTTCTAAAGCGAAATGTTGTAGGTCCATGAAACTGGTGGCATTGTTGTATCCGTCCATTAATTTTAAAAAATCTCAAAGCAATTGAACAGCTTATAAGTGGGTGTAGTGAACATATCTAAATCAGACAGTAACTTACAAGGGATTTAATTTGTTTAATACTCGAAATTTTATTGAATGCATGCCAAACCCAATTTTGCTTCTAAATATCGAACATCTTTATTAGTTTACCAATTTTTCCAATTTTCTGCACTCAATTTATGTTGATTTGTGACATTTTAACTAAAGTAACTTCGACCTACAAATATTTGAATAAAAACTCATTTGATTGGTTTTTGTATTATTTATTTAATTTTTTGTTTTTTTTTTGTTGGTAATTAAGAAACTGTAATTTCAATAAACTTAAATATTCCACTCATACATCAATCTTTGCCTCTGTTATATGCATACAATTTACGCCTACAGCCGGTTTTCATTTTCATCCGGTTGTTATTATTTTTCGGTTTCATGAATGTATTGCAGTTTCACAATATTATTATTTTATATGTTCTGGGACTCGACTTATTAGCGTTGCGGCAAAAGTGTTTCTTTTATTTAAATATATATATTTTTTTGGTTGCTTTTTGTTTTATATTCCTCACATTCATAATATAGCGATAAATTCAATTGCGAAAATATACATTTACTTTTATCATACATACATATGTTCTGTATGCTGGACAATAATATATTTTCTTTCAATACACATGCAAAGTTTTCTTGTATTTAAATTAAAAATTTGAATAGTTTAGTTCACAATATTTATGTATTTTGATTCGATCTTCATTTAATTTCCGTTTTTAATATTTCCATTGCTGATTTGCAGGCTGCAATTCTCATAGTTTGAAGAAGTCGACCACGTTTTCGAACGATAATAATAATCAGCTAAGAAAGAATCGCCAGATTTTAGGAACAATTTGAGGCTGTTTCTCTGTTGGGGAAACGCTTCTCTGGGCTTCAACGTACAAATGTACTTCAAAAAGTTACACCCAACTAACGAAAAAATGGGAAATTGGGCTGCAGACATTGCGCACAATAAAACTCGTGCCTTCGCCATGTTGCACACTAAAAAAAAAATTAAGTGGACTTCCACTAGGGGATCAGAGACTTCATATCGTTCGAAAAATTCATTTGACAGACAGTTGGTTATATGTATGTATTATATGAGTTATGCTTTTCACAATTGTTTATACCAAGAAAAAAACAACAAAGAAATTTGCAATTGTAGATTTAACCGTTTTGTTTTATGTAAGACATGTATAAAAAATAGCAATGAACAATTATATATTTTTCTGTATTTTTCCGTTCTCGCCACGTTCATCTAACAGATATGGTTCCTGATTCATGGGATTTGAACCGATTTCCGCACGTGCATTATAAATGCAGCCCTGTCTGTGTGTGTGTGCTTCTGTTTGTGTGTGTGTGTGTGCATGTGTGTGGGGAGGTTGAAAAACGAAAAGTGAACCAATTTCGAAATGAAGTAAAACGTAAAATGGGAAACTAGGTTTTTTGGTTTTATTTGTTTAGAAAAAGAATTACAAATAATACATAAGTTTGTTTTTATTTTTGTTTTTCTCATTTGGTTCGCTTGGTTGTTGTTGTTGCTGTATCTTTTGCAGTTGTTTCTGTTGCCATACGAAAATTAAATAATTAATTTAGACTCTTGCAAAAAACGTATAATAACCGATTATCTCATTTCATTTCTTGTGTATACAGTTAGGAATATTATTTATTTGTTGTTTGTTTGTTTTTGTAAGGAGGAAATCCACACGAGGCACCGCCAGGGCGAACAAATTCGGAGCATCTAGAGTTTGGCCGTTTCGATCGGGAAAAACACACACACAATTACGAATTATCTGCTAGATTAATTTGATTCAAAATCCGGAAAAATCATACCAAACTCCCAAATAGTCCGCATTCGTTTGGCCTCACAGCGATGCAGTATTTTTCTGTATTTCCTAAGCAGTTGCAGATCTTAAGCTACATTTGAGTCAGATTGACCGGCATCTGTCCATGCATTTGACCATCTGTATACTAGGGGTTCGGTTGCAACCGGAGCCCGGCTAAAAACTACCCGTGACAATCGGGAAAAACAGCCTCAAATGCCGGCCCATCGGCCCCAAATGAACTGTGAAGCATTCTGCCCTCAATTCGTATGTTAATGTCTCAAATGTTCGCGCTCTTTGCCTGCCTGCTGCTCTCGCCTGGATTATCGTTTCATTTCAAATTGTTTTGCTTTGCTGGTTGCGTTTTATAATATTTGTTTCTCTTTGTTGTTTCTGGTTTTTGTTTTGTTTGTATTACTGAATAATATTTGCATAGTCAAAAAGGAAACATTTGCTTAGTTGTTTGGTTAGTTGTCGCCGCCCTCCTGTGGCTCAGCTTCGTCGCCTTGAGTGTCGGACGTCCAGAGAGTCAGGTTGTCCCTCAACAGCTGCATGATGAGTGTCGAGTCCTTGTAGGAGTCCTCGTTCAGTGTGTCCAGCTCGGCTATCGCATCATCGAACGCCTGGGTGGCGGATAAAAAAAAGGTTCTTTTTAGTATACATTTTCGATGGTTTCGGATCAAAGGAAATGTTTGGCAAGGCGAATGCAAGTTGGTAAAACAAAAGCATTTTCAAAGTGGCGTTAGGTTCATTCATAATTGGCTTCACTAAACAACTTCATCAAACTGAACTCTAAGGCAAATCGTGTAAATCAAAATAAAAATAACAAAAGAGTTGTGTTGACCTTAACAAAATAAAAACGAAAAGTGTTCACCAGCAAAGGCCGCATGTAAATTATTTCACAGGCAAAGTTTTTCGTATTTCTCATGCAATTCGAGTGGGAAAATAGATGGGTGGATGGATATACATTGCGCTTCAAAAAGTTTGTAATTTCAGGGGTAAAAAAATATATAGTGCAAAGTTAGCTTAAACTGTAAAAGTTGTACATTTATAAAGTCACTATAAGGAAATTTAAATTTCTTTAACTTTTCCAGTTTCATAAAATTGTACATGTTTCCTTCTCAAACTTTTGGAAAGCTTTGGTGGCAATGTATATCGCTAAGTCGGGTTAAAGCTCATTTAGTTGGTTAATTAGTCGCTGGATATCTTACTCAGTTTAGTCACAGAATAACAACAATTTGTATCATTGGGTGATTAGTATTCGTAAGCGAATTATTAAGTTTACACAGAAGATACATGTATAAGTTGAACTGAACCTGTTTAGCTAAGTGACAAGCCCTCGCTGGTGAATTGATAATTTCGTAATAGAAGACGGAAAAGTTGAGAGCAAGACCTAATCTGATTGGATGTGTGGGCTGCATTTTGGTTTTTGCAATATCGAACGCCTCCTGATAGGCTTTTTTCGAGTCCTCAACGACGGCTTAACGAATTACACATGATTCAATTATGTAAAAAAGTAAGAAACAAAACCAAATGTTAGGAAAACCATTTAAAATTAAACAGAAAAGTTCTTAATTATCGATGGATAGTGATTTTGTGTGCCTTATTGCTCGCTTGCCATACATTTCGATTAATCGAGCCAAGTCTCAGTGTATTATTAACCTGTTTAGCCAATTGGCAAGCTTTGTCTGGTGAGTTCAAAATCTCATAGTAGAAGACTGAGAAGTTAAGGGCCAGACCCAAACGGATGGGATGTGTTGGCTGCATTTTACCCTTGCTAATGTCAAATGCATCCTGGTAAGCGGTTTGCGAGTCATCGACAACGGCTGTGTTTTGCAAGAATATTTGTAGTTTGGTTTATAAAGATTTTTGAATTGCACAATTCGGGTGTACAATTCGGGCATATGGTGTTTCTGATGGTGTGCCCTACAAGATACTTACTGTTGCGTGCGTCTCCTGTGGCAACCTCGGCTAAATACCTGTAGTAATCACCCTTCATCTTCAGGTAGAACACCTTGCTCTCGGGATTGCTGGCTTTTGGAATAAGGTATTTGTCCAGAAGTCCCTGTAAGCGGAGAAAACAAGAACGTCAATTAATCTTATATCAATTTCGTATCCCAAACGCAACAATTAATCAAGTAAGCCCCCTGGCTTATTGTAAAACCCTGTTCACTTTAAGTTTAATTCAATATAAAAGCCCTAATCAAAGGAAAGCGAATGGGGATACCCCGGGTTCAATCCTGGCCATGGTCTATTTTCTGACCGATGAACGACAATGTAAATTCCATATACACACAAGCCAAAACCTCTGTGTGTGGGGGCGAAAATGGAAAATGTTCATTTTAAAAATAGATTTATTGATTGTAAAAAATTTGTTATATTTCACTAGAGCAAGAAGGAAAGCCAGAAAACGGGTCCCACCCCCTGGAAAACCCACCGGACCATCCAACCAACACCCTCGACAGACAGCTGAGCTTGCCAAGGGCGGAGGTCTTAATATATATATATATTTAGTCGGTTGACAGGTTTGCCATCTTCGTCACCGTCAATTCAGATGAGCACCCAAGTGAATTGTGGGTATGAAAATAATTAGATGGACCAATTACAACCCCATAAATCCTTCAGAAAGAGACTTGCGCAGAATTGCGGACCACCACTTACCAAAACTTCGTAGCAGATTTCCCTCAGCTCCTTCTCCACACGCTCTCTGTACTCACGGGCGAGCTGCTGTTTTCTAGCGGATGCTTCGGTTTTCTGCTCAATGGAGGAGATGACACGCCACGATGACCTGGTTTGGACATGTTAAACACACCCGGAGAAGGGGCAAAAACATACAGCTTAGCAGATGAACTTCAATCTATGGTGCGACATTAATCAAGCGCTGATTGATTGACTCACCTGCGGGCACCGACCACATTTTTGTAGGCAACGGAGAGCAGATTTCTTTCCTCATTTGAGAGCTCAACGCCAGTCTCTGTGACGGACTTCATGGCCTGGGCCATGTCATCGTAACTGCATGGAAAACACATCATTAGTAATTGGAAATCTTTAATCACAGGAATGTAAACCTTTCATTTTACAGAACACTTATCTTGTTTGTTTCGATAGGGTTTTAAGTGGATTTAAAAAACAATTGTCTTATTTCAACTATATATTTCTATATAGAGTGTATATAAGATTTACTTATGACATTTGTTTTTATACATATACTACTATAACTTTTGCCAAATGAGTTATTTTCAAGTTCTGTGAGGTTGATGAACCTTATTATAAGAGGAACCACTTACCGTTCTGACTGCTCGGCCAGTTTAGCCTTCTGGACCAGCTCTTCCTTATCGACTGTCGACATTTTGTTTGATTTTTTTTTTCAGGTTACTTCACAAAACTAATAAAATACGCCACACAGTTCGATATGCCCCTCAAAAGTTGCTAACAATGGCTTTCTGCAATAAATTAGAACGTAAACAGGAGCATTAGTGGGTTTTTTCAGTGGAGGAGAAATGTAGGTTAGGCCACCTTAACCCGTTATCTGGTGTAACGGTTCTCGGCTCTTTACAAACACCTGACTAACAGAGTTCTGTTGCTGATTACCTGTCTGTTATATTTAGCTAAAATGCCAAAGCCACCAGTAGTTGCACAACACTGCGAATTTTTGTTGGACTGCGAAATTCAGTGGAGTGAACTGCCATATAAGCATACCCCTTGTAGGGGATAATAGACGTTATAAGATATTCCATGTTTTTGGTTCGATAAATGTTTATGCTTCAAATTTAATTGAAGGTCGCGATAAATTCCATATTCGTTAGCTTTAAAAGTCATTTAAAATATTTTTGATTTGTCTATATGTTTAAGTTATCTAGTAAATTATTAAAAATTATTTTGATTTGTTTGAAACACAACTCTTAGAACGATGATACTGATAGATTGCATTCTAGAAACTAAAGTAATGCATTATCTAAAGCGTTCAGACGGGTCCAATATACCCGCATTGCACTTGCGCGAGTATTTCTAGGTAAGTTGTACAAATTTAGTTTGTTGTCATGCTTCCGCTGGACGAAAGTGTTGGATTGAAAGCTGCGATGACTCATGCACTCGCAGCAGGTCTTTATAGACTAATCGCTGACGTAATGGCTAATTTAAATGGAAAAAAGCCAGTGGCGAAAAAAAGTTACAACTGGACATGGCCGCACGTGTGTTAACTATGAAACTATTTAAAGCCCAGTTTATGGGTTTGTGGAAGGCCGAAGGTAGAAAGAGAGTATCTGGCAGATGGATGTGAAAAAAATACAAGTTCGACAACAGCGATAAAAATAAACCATGAATAAAAAGAGAGAGGGAGAAATGGAGCACAAGTCGGCTCGCCTTAATGCGTTTTTATATATTTTGTGTGTGTGTGCCAAAGATAGATATTTATGTACGTGCATAAAGAACGTCTGTTTGTGTTCCCCGTACAGTGACGCACTCACTAACTTGCCCACTCGTTGAACTTCTATCGATTAAACGTGCAGTAATTATTGGAAAACAAGCAGAACATACAAAAACTAAATGAAAACACAGGAATGCAGGCGACAGTCATTAATTTGCTCACACGTAATCCAATTATAATTCCCTGCGATAGGATCATCCAAACTTTCAATGTAGGACCAATTTCCGGCTTCGATTTTCAAAAGGGACGTGAGGAAAGGAAAATCGATTAATTTCCGCTCGACCTGGAGAAAGCTTGGAAACAAGAACTGCGGGGGACGAGGGGTGAAAATCGGTCTGTGGATATGCATATGGGCGTTGTGGGTATTTTTAGACAACTGGTGGCTCTGGACAAAAAAAAAAAAAAATAAAATGTTTTGTTTGCCCGCCCAACGGAAACCTCGAAAACCAAGCACAAGAATGCCAGCTAATGCAGCCAGCCGATGATTGAAATGGAAAATCTCAACACATCGGCGTCATAAAAGCACCACCAACCATCCCACAAATACCGCGTTCAATTGGATTTACAGTCCAGCTTGGCTAACAGCGACCGCAAAATCTGGCAAATCTGAATACACTTCTTTTACTTTTAAATGTTTAAATGAACAGATAAAAGCTTCTCTCAAAATTGTTTCAAAACCTATACAAATGTTCTTCTCTGCAGCTTACAACTAGTTTTAGATACCCAGTAACATTTGCAGAAGCAATTATAAATACTGAGTTCTGCGCAGTTGTCTAAAAAGCAACCAATTGAGGTTTAAACCATTTGAAAACACAGTTTTATTTGTGTTGCGATCGACCGCCAAATTAAAAAAGCATTGACCCTTTGTCAAAACAAAGGGCGGTGGGGCGTGGCGTGCCGAAAGATGGATGGGGGGTGGGTGCGGTCTGTCGACGCGTTTTTAGGTCAATTGAAATGCTTTCTGGCTGTGTTCGGCAAATGCCAAAACATTAAGCCAGGCGTAACGTAAATTAACGTAACACTCCCCTAAAAGGCCACAAATATGTTTGTAGTTTTTATCGGATAAATCAAAGGAGAAAAAAAACTTGTTTCAACCACGCAGATTGCTCATCTGCTTGAATGAATACATTGGTAAAAAAAAAAAAAAGGGGGATGGGTAAAACAGGTGGGAGAGGGCATGTCGAAGTTTTAGAGACTTGTTCAGGGGACGGTTAAACATCCATATGGTTAGGCTAATTCCGGGGCTAGAAAACCCTGCTAAATCCGTGTCGGATGGATACGTAGGTACTTTAAACTTTTTATCTGCGCCGGCCGACAGCATGCGCAGTTGCTCAAGAGGCCCCCAGAGCCTGCAGAACCCGAGCCCGAACAAGAAGAACCCAATCCACGATGATGTAGAAATTCCTCTACACTGTAGATACCGCTACTACGGCTCTACATGGGGCGAAAAAGTTACTAACTTTTATGGTGGCTGTGTGCGTGCGATTCTGCGTGTGTTGGTGCGTTCTGGGTGGTGGTGGTAATGGTGGTGATGGTGGTGCGGATGGTTGAGATGGTGTTGGTGGGGCCGCCAATCGTGTTTCCAAGTGCGGCGCTACAAAATTATAAAAATAATCGGAAGAAAGGGGGAGCGAGCTGGGAGGGAGAGAGAGAGAGAGAGCGGAGAACGCCGCAGAGAGAGGCCGAAATGTATCTACCACAGGCGGCCGCCAAGTGTGTTGAGTTTGGCGAGGAATCCCACCTAACCGCGTGTCCCCATCCAAGTTGATATATATATATATATCTATCTTGGCGTACTGTGTGTACATATAGCTGGCTATATATGCGTAAATATAGAAGTCGGCTATGTCCGCCGCCTACAACTTAACCGATGAACTGCTGATGATGATGAGAAATACGAAGCTACAAGCGAATCTCACCGCATCACATACATGCACCAATACTCGGGCAAATTGGGAATGTTCTTTTCTTTCAATTTACTTTTTCTTTTTCTTTTTTTTTTTTTGCACAAATTCACACTTTTTTCTTTTGCGTCGAATTTTTTTTCGGCATCGGATCGATGCCTGATGGAGGTATTTCGATTTTTCTGCGGGCCGAAGTATAGATGCATGTAAGTGATTACTCATAGGCGGCATTACACGTGTTTTTCCTTGGTATATTTAAGCAATTTTTCGTTTTATAATTCCATACACACACTGGCAGGCGCACACACATATGTAGGTGCAAGGCACTCTGGGCCAGCAAAAATGTTACTTACATTCTCGATTAACTGAAACTGAAACGACAACGAACACTACCAACGAACGAATGAGAATGACGGACGGCAAAGGTTGCACACATTCGCCGCGTCGCTGTATCTGTGTTTCTGCGCTCTCTCCCCACGCACACTCTCGCAGGGGCACATGCGCCGCCGCAGAATGAGAGGGAGCATATGGGGCTGGCGCAGGCGAGAGTGAGAAAGTGCGACAAGTGAGAGAACTTCAGGGTTGCCAACCTGCTGTATAAACTAATGTTGCCAGGTGTGCAGGTAAAACTTATAAACCAAACTTTCAGATACAATATACTAATTAACGGGCGTCTCAGAACTTGTAGATAGAGAGCTTTAATAAGAGTCAGCTTTTATTGTCAAGTCTCTCCCCGTGTTGCCATCGGTTTATGAAGTAATAGTTTATAGTTCGTTTCCAACCTGTTGAAACTTTCTGGCGCTTATCTCGCTGCCAGATTACGCTTTTATCTTGACTTTATGGCCTCCGAAAGGAGGAAACTAATCGGGAGATGTATGCCATTGATAAAGGGGCGGCGGTAAATTGCCTTAATTCTAATTGGGATTTCATTAAATTGGTGCACTCACACATAAAAATGAGATATCCACGCACTTATGCTTTTCGTGAGGTGAGCCAGGGCTTACGATTGTGAATCTGAAGGTAAGTCGAGGATTTTACAAAAGTTCAAATTATTCTTACTACTGTTTACATTTTGTTGCCCGTTGTGGACTACAATTCAAAATATTTGAAAATATATTTAATAATGTTAGGTGTTTATGTATTATATGAAGCACAATGCAATTAATTTGAAAATCAAATCCCTGATAGGAGAACGGGGAAATCCGAATTTTTTCAAATAATCGCAGTGTATTGCAATTTCGATTCGTCTGGGACATGCTCACGCGACCATCTCTACATTTTACTACAGCTCACAAAGAACAAGACGGAGAAAATTACGTCATCGGCGTCCTATTTGGTTGCGGTAATGAAAAATTGCTACGTCCATTTCCAATTGTAATGGGATTTTCGCAAGGCCAGTATCGCACGCAATCAAATGTAGAGAGCCCCACGGGCAGGTGGCATCCAATTAGGAGGCCAACGAATCGATAAAGTGTGTGGGCGCACTTATTCGGGGAAAATTTTATCCGCCGACAATATGGCGGTCGCAAGCCGACACACGACGCACTATGTGAAACTACTCACTGCGCCTGGATTTTCAAGCGAATTTCGAATATATGCGTATTCCTTGGACTCTCCAGTAATCGACTTTAAACTTGGTTTTAAACGAACAAGCACTTATTAATTAGTTAATTCACCTCTTACGGCTCGGACCTGAAGGTTCTTCTTCTTATCTACGCGCGCTGTGTTGGAAAACGAGGAAACCTGATGTAGGGATGGGCCCGCAGGAATTTTCCAACCTGCGCGGTGCAAAATTCCGATACACGATGGACCTATCGATTGTTGGTTAGGCACATTTACCGTCTCTAGAAGGCCGCACGTGTTTACGTTCTGTGGGAAATATTCTTGGCTTCTCTTAAAAAAACGTTGCATTTTATAGAATACTGACATGCCGCGCTCCAAACGTGATAAGAAAGGTGAGAGATTGCATTGTAGTAAAAACAATTTTAACCTATAATGTGTGCTACTCCTCTTACTTTAGTTTCCCTGACCAAAACCGACCGCAAGGGTCTGGCTTGGAAACAGCGCATTGTGGACGACATTCGCTTCTGCGTGGGCAAATATCCGAATATATTTGTTTTTCAAGTTCAGAACATGAGGAATAGCTTGCTGAAGGATCTGCGACAGGAGTGGAAAAAGAATTCACGTTTTATCTTTGGGAAGAATCGAGTTATGCAGATTGGCTTGGGTCGCACGAAAAGCGAGGAAGTGGAGCCCGAATTGTACAAGGTAATTGGGCTTAAGAAGATATAAAATATATTAGAAGCTAATCATGGCCGATGTCTATTAGCTTTCCAAGCGATTAACTGGCCAGGTGGGACTGCTGTTCACTGACAAATCCAAGGAGGAAGTCCTGGAATGGGCCGAAAACTACTGGGCCGTTGAATACGCACGTAGTGGTTTTGTAGCCACGGAAACGGTTACCCTGCCAGCTGGTCCACTGGAGGACTTCGCACACTCAATGGAGCCCCATCTGCGTTCCCTGGGCCTGCCCACCAAACTGGAGAAGGGAATCGTTACGCTGTACAGTGACTACACGGTTTGCGAGGAGGGCAAAGTTCTAACACCCGAACAGGCGAGAATCCTCAAGTTGGTGGGCAAGCCGATGGCCAAATTCCGGCTAACCATGAAGTGCTCTTGGACCAAAAGCGAGGGCTTCCAGCTGCACGTTGAGGATGATGTGAACGACGAGGAACAGGCTGATAGCGCCATGGAAGAGGAGGCTGAAGCCGAGGCCATGGATGACAACGACGATGATGATGACGAGGAGGATGATGAATAAATTAGTTTAAAGTGTAGAATTAATTTTTATGTATATATCAAGTGCAGAAAATATACGTATATTTTTAAATTACTTTATATATTATCTTACGTTCAACACAGATAATACTTGATTAACAGTAGCTTATACTAATAACTAAGTAAACAAAACACTTAAGAAGCATTTCAGATATTGCAGCTAAAATCAAAGAAAGGCACAATAATGCATCAGGTTGCATCGTCCGCGAGGATGTAGAGCACCAGAGGCCGTTCATTTTCGCTATCCCCCTCCAGAAGATCGCTATTAGTTAGGGAAATATCCTGAGAGGGCGAGCCCTCCAGCTCCAAGGCACCGGTGCTAGCACTTGAAAAGAATTCCAGAGGCATAGGCTGCTCGGGAACCTCACGATTCGAGGGGGTTTCAGTCTCCAGTGCAACGTCCTCCTCCCCGGCTGACAACTCTAAATGTTATTGATCTGTCGAGTTTCGCGGCACTGTGCAGCCAGCGGCAATATGCTCCATCACCTGCTGCTTCAGTTGCGCAACATGGTCCTTTAGGTTCTTTACTATGCCCGCCAGGTCGACGTTCTCGCCCTTGAGTAACTTCACACGATCCTCCAGCTTTGAGATGCGCTCCAGCTTCCGCTTGCGGCACTTGGAGGCGGCCACGCGGTTGCGCTGCCTCTTGCGCTCCAGCTTGATCTTCTCCTGCGTTTCCATGTCGATGGGACTAACGGTGGGCGAGCCGGCTTGATTGACGGGCTCATCCTTGATCACCGAGAAGCCCTCGGACATGTTGGCGTAGGTAAAGGTTCCTCCGCTGATGCCATTGCTCACCGCAGTCATGGCTGTCGCAGTTGTGTTATTGGGGGCAGAGTTGGCGGCCGAAAATGCCTGGGAGTTGGTGTGCAGATTCTTTAGGGCCTCCTCGAATCCCCTGCCGAAGTCCTCCTGCTCCACGGTGACGGGTCCCGCTTTGGTGGGGAAAACCTTTCCCGGTTGCGGTGTCTGGATGAAATTGCTGGACTGCACGATCTTGTCCAAATCGGGTGTGCTCACCGTCTTGACCTGCAGATCCGGTGAGTTAATGATGAGTGGGGCGAAGATGCGCTTGTTCTTGGCACCCTTGCTGTTCAGATCTAGGGATCCGGGACGCTTGTTAGGATTAGGGGTGGATGTGCTAAGGTTCGGCGACTGGAAGTCCAGCGACATGGGGCCTTCTTCTCCAACGGGTTCGGTTTTAGGTACGATCTGAATGGCAGCTGCTACGGCACTGCCAGCATTTGGGTTACTTAAATTCGCAGCAGCGGAAATGGGGGTTTTCATGTTTGCTAAAGCAATGACGTCAAGCTGTTTTTCAAGAAAAGAAAGAGAGAAAAACGTTATAAAAACAATCTGATAAAAACTCGTTTCGCGATGAGTCATGCGAATAACTCGTTCTTCTTCTTACTCACCAGTGGGTGGGAATTGCGTTTGCAAAAAATTTGATTAACACAATCTGTACTTTTGCGCGAGCTGACTCCTATTGTGCCACTGCCTATTCACTGGTCTTATCGGTCACCTAATCTTTTAATTTTATTTTTCTTTCGCTTAATATATTTAAGAAAATATTTATATTTATTACGCGTGAGGTTGTTTTCAGAGTGGCTGCTAGAGGTGATACAAATGTCAATTATTATTCGACATTGCTATCGATAGCGGAGAAGGAAAGCGATGTTTGTAACAGCATGGGTAGCATTGGCTGAAGCACTTCGCGAAGCAGTTAAATTCAAATTTAAGCCGTTAATAATATAAAACATATTTATTTGTCTACATATATTTTAAACTTTTATTGACACGTTGTGAACGGTGAATGTGAACAAGGTCTTGCCTAGTCTTTCATGGAATCTTTCTGGAAATATTCTTGTGGCTTGGCAGTGAAAGCAGATGCAATAGATCTCTTTATCAGTCCTGGGCGTCGGTAAATAGGAAAGGAAATGTGTTTTTCAGTCGGGTTTATGGGATGTTTTCGATCTTGAAGAACGACGAACTGCCCAGAAGGATCCATTATGTCGGAGAGGCTGGGAAAACCTTGGTGCTCATGATTTTGTGAGTAACAATTGAAGAGGCGACCAAAATATGACAGACAATTCCGAGCAGCCCAATAACTTGAAAACACCCAAGGGAAAATGCCATCTGGTTTTGGAATATTCCCGATATATTTATTTTCGACATTTATGATAACTGTATAGCAATAAATATTTTCAAATACCGTTTTTATTTTGTTTTGTTTTTCAAACTGTAGCATATACATCAAGTTTAAATATATATTTGTTCGTTTATGTAAATACATTAATAATATTTTGATTTCGCAACCAAACATCTTGCTGTTGTTCAGATTGGTATATGGTGGCCCTAAAAGATTTACACATTTATTAAACTCCTTGTATATATTAATAATCACATCTATAGATTTGTTAGAGCTTCAAATATTTGTCTTAGTTATGTCCATTTATTGTAAGCACGTTGAAACACATTAATGTATATGTTCTTCTGTAGACAAGTAATGCGGAGAGAGAAGTCTCAGATAGTTAGTTGCTCTGCAAGTGGCGTTCGCAAAGATACGTAGTTTTTTCCGGTGTAGGCTAAAATCGTTATATATATGGTATTTGGTATTTGGTATGTATGTGGCATGCAGTATGTGGTGTATGTGCACACCTCCAAGTCCAAACCGAATAGAAGAATTCTGGCGGTGACTATGGAGGACTAGCTGCCAATGTGAGCTCTGACTTTCATTTTCGTTAGAATGTCAAGCGAGTTAAGTTACTTAAAAAGCAGATTGTGGATTAAATACTTGTTTGTCTTGGTTACGCATATGTATGTTTCGTCTATGATCACGTTTGTACACTTAAACACCCATAAAACGTGCAAATATGTTTCGAAAAATTCCATTTCACGCTAAACACTTAAACCAAATAAATCGGGCCACATCGGGCGTCTACTGCGATTAACTAAATCCAAATTGTATATATATCTATATGCATCTCTTTAGGTATCTGGTAAACTCTAGTTGGCTGCTGCCGCCTTGCGAGGCGGACACAAAAATCCATCAAAATATTATGTCTTTGTATGCGACGACTATTTGGTTTTGAATCAATCGTTTGATTTTTGCCAGTTCAGCAAGGTTTTTATGTTGGTTGTTTTTTGGGCTCATATTGTAATCTTCTCTCTCTGGGTTGCATTACGGTTTTTTCATTTTCATTATCATTATCATTATCGTTTTTTTTCATTATCGATTTATGCTTTTCTTTTTGAACGCACACAAAAGAGACGTTAGGATATCCGGAACAGTCCGCTTAAAGCCCGATCTCCCGCATGGCCCTGTACAAGCAGGGATTCTTCAAGCACTCCCGAGGACCCAGCTGCCGTCCGTGGGATCCCCGCAGGATCATCAGGATGGACCGAGCCGCCGACTGGCACTCGTTGCTGTCGCCGCAAACGCCATCCGCCTCCGCCAAGTACTGATAATCGCAGGCAACCTGCGAGGCGCCCTGAAAACACAAGACACAAATACAATGGATGAACTTTGGCACCCTGCTTTCCAAAGTAACCAAGAGAAATGCACACCAATTGCAGGCGCACCACTTACACATAGATAGCAGATCTGGTGAACGCCGCAGAGGGGCAGCAGCTCCTGGTTAATGTCGCCGGAGATGAGATCGACGCCCCGACAGCGCTCCGCCATGGACTCGATGATGGGGCACTGATTGGAGCCCACTATGTAGTTCTTGTTGCCCAGGTAGGCGTCGTTTAGGGTCTCGTAGGGGACGCTACCCAAGCTGAGGGCCTCCTCCATGGTATTTGGCTGCTCCGGATAGCGCAAGTAGCCGCTGCGCTTCTTCTTTTCCATGTCCTTGGGTGGTTTCGAGTCTCTGGAGGATTAGCCAAATATGCACATCGAAATATTGCAGATCGAAGCCCCACTACTCACTCCGCCAGTTGTTCCGCCTGCTCCTTCTTCACCGACTTTTTGGTCAGCCAGTAATTGGAGTCCAATGCATTCTCCTCGGATTCCGGTTCGATGGTATTGCGCATAAGGTGACTCTCGTTGTCCACTGATCTCCTCAACTTATCCAGAGCCCTGCGCATTTTCTCCAGACTGTAAGCGGTTGCCAAGCGGGAGAGGACATGGTCCTTGATTCTGCGGATGTCGTCCTTGCTGTTGAGTCCCTCGTGGGCACCCGTATACTTGATGGTCTCGTCGATGATGAAGTCCTCGATGGACTGCAGCTTCTTGTCCATGCTGTCCAGTTTCTCGGCATCGAAGTCACGCTTCTTTTTCTCCGCCTCGGAGCTGTCATCGTCGGTTTCTTCATCATTATTGCTGCTACTATCCGTTTCACTGCGTTTCCTTAGGTTTCTAATTGAAGTTACAATTAATTAAACCAATGTTTAAGAAAGTTAACTCCCTTGGAAACTCACTCTTTCTTCTGCAAGGACTTCTTCTTGCGATCCAGTCCGAAGTATTGCGACCAATCTATGGACTTCTTTGCCCGGAGCATCAGGTGACCCACAGTGGGTGCATGGAGGTGTTTAGTGCTCCCACCATTTCCAGTTAGACTGGCTGCAGCTCGTTTCTTCTTGCGCCGTTGCTCCTCGGCTTCCTCGGCCTCCAGGTCAGCTTCACCGTCCTCCTCGTCGAACTCGTCGTGGTCATCCTCATCGGAGCTCTCCTCACCCTCCTCATCATGCTCGTCAGCCTCCGGATCATCGGCGTTATCGCCATGCGCGTGATCACTTCGTTTGCGATGGCGATACTCGGGTGACATTCCAGGCACATGGCCACCATGATGACCGGCATGGCCGCCATGCTGAACCATTTCACCGGTGCCCGCTGGAGCGGCTGTGGGCGTCTCCTTGGCTGTGACATTCACCCGCTGAAAGTTGATCTCCAGACGCATATCCCCCAAGGCGGTGGCTGTGGCTGGCGGGGATCCAGGTATATTGGTGGTGACCTTTGGCTGCTCATCCGCCGACCGCTTGCGTTTCTCCTCGGGATGGGATTGGGTTTCGCCGGGCTGGCCGAACAGCTCGCTCAGCTCCTGGGCCACTCGCTCATCGGTTCGGCCCAACGGAGATTCCGGATTGGAGTTGGTGGTGCTCCGCTTGGCCACCGGAAAGCGCTTCCGCTTATCGCCGTTATACGGCAACCATGGGAGGACCGGATAGGAGCGCTTCTTTTGCATCAGCAAGTAGTAAGGAGGCACTCGCATTCGCTTCTTTTGCTCGAACTGCTCGGCATCTTGTTCGGGTTCCTGTTGGGTTTTCGCCTGGTCCAGGTGGCGCCACCATTGACGCACTGCATCCCGATCCCTGGCCTCTTCGATCTCGCGCAGAAACTGCTCGGTCAGCTCATTGCGTGCGGGCTCTGCGTTCAGAGGCTGGATTTCACGCTCACGGAAAGCCGAAGGTGCGGATCCATCTGAAAAAGATTTGGAGAGAGGAATTAGGGATATCAATCTGGTCCTCCAGTTTTCCGAAAGTGTTAAATAACATACATTGTTTTGATTTATTGGTTAACATTAAACTGCGATCTATAAAATAACCATGCCATCCATTAACACCAGGTTATTTTATTTTCGGCCACACTGATAAAATATAAACAAAAGCCATAAATTTGTGCAAAAGACATAAAGAGCTTAATAGTTATTTATTTAATAACTTAAGATTCAAATTTAATTTAAATGAAAAAGCGGGATGAAAACATGCCTTGCGTTATGTCAAATATTAAGTTTTAAATGCTCTTATGAGGCTACATATCTTAAAAACTTGATAAATGTCTTGATATTCGACGATTTGCTTTTCCGATCAATGAGAAATGACTTAACTTTGACCTTGGCAAAAACATAATATGGGATAAAGACAGTCGATAAATCCTGGCCGTGTGTGTGGAGCACATGCCTCAAGTTGCTGGGTAGGCAGGCCATTAAATCAAATGACAGGAAGACAGGCAGGATCTGTCGGTCCTGAGCCGCTTCCAGCCGATTGCATTCATCATCGGGACTCTGGCATGGAGCCACAACCATCGTCCCACTCAGCACTCACAAGTTAATCGGAGCTAAGTGGTTTCAGCCAGGCCATTGTTGGCCGAATCCACTCCATGCTGCCACCTTCTGGCGGCTCATGGATGTCCACAGCTTGGGTCAGGATAATAGCACTTAAGGATTAGACCCATAAATTGTTTTCGGTGATTCGCATTCAAAAGTAGCCACTTGGTCAAGGTGCTAATACTTGTCCATTAGTGCGCTCCTCAATCAGGATATTTACGAGAAAAGGTTCTTAAAATATGCTATCATTCCCTCGAGAGCTTTGGAATTTATTCACGTACCAAATCAATTTAAGCTGTAAATTATAAATTATAAGCACTTGCCATCAAGTTGAATAGCTTCCCAACTATTTGATGAAAAACTGATAATTATGTTTGTACACTCACTTATATTTAATGCAGTGCGACATATTATTTAGCTATGTGATGAATTATTCGAATGAAATTGGGGCAACACAGTTGAACTTTAATTCACTTTCGCTGCGGGCCAATATGCTCACATATTTCCAATCAATTACAAATAAAACAGCAAACTAGCATTGTGCAGTGCTCTACGTGAAGGACCTTCATAGTGAGTAGCCATTTTGAGGTGCGTGTTTTGTCAGTGCTGTGGTTGCGACTTACCGAACTGCTCGTCACGTTCCCGAAAGGAGGAGAAACGCTTTCTCTTCTCATCGGACAGGTTATTGGGGCCCAAGTCGCCGCCGTCATCCAGTCCCAGCCCCATGCCCATGCCCAGACCCAAGCCCAATCCCAGGTTGTGATCCGGACCGTAGTTGTCCTCGTCGCGTTCTAAGTACTTGCCAAGTGCCTTATTAACTCGATGGCGATTCCGATTCCTATTCTTGCCAAATAAATCGCCATCTGTGCGAGAGCGTGGAGGGGGAATGGTGATGTGGGGTTTTGGTGAAGCGTGTGGTGGAGTGGCCGAAAGAGAAAAGAAAACGGAAACGAGGAAAAGTAACAGCGGTCCATGTGACTGTTGGGGGGAAAATCCGGAAAATCCGGAAAATCTGTGCTTGGGGATCGCCTATCCGAGGCACGTGCACTCCTCATGCGGCTTCCCACTTTCTACTTTTCGTCCCTCTGCTTTCATCTGCCTGTGATGGATATCACATTCAGACTTCAGCCAGGACTTACGCTTATGTAATCTACACATGCAGTTGACGGCCCATCTTTAGTGCCAGTCACACAAATCTAATATTAATATTTTGGCATACATATGTGTATTGGCATATGGAGGAAAATGCGTCACTGAACAGAAATCCTCCATTGGCTGACTACGTATTGTGTATTTCTTAACTTTAAAGTATAATTTTTGGGATTTTATGCACGTACAAATATAGTTTCATTTTTATCTTGATCAATATTTTAAATATTTTATTCAAATAGCAATCATCTATCTGCAAACTATCAAAGACTTTGCAAAATTCTAGTCATTGCTCTCTAATTATATAAAAATATATTTATTAACTTATTTATTACTATTATAACTATTTACTTTTGTACACATGTTCGTTAAGTTTAAAATATTATATTCCGCAAAAGTCTTTAAACATCTAAAGGTTCTTTAGAGTTATAAGTACATTAAAAATCCACGCTTTCTTTTTGTTCGAGCACACACAGGAAGTTGTTAATCGACGAGTACAGGGTATGCATAAAAAATTGATAAACTGCAAGGAAGGCTCTGCATCCTAAAGGTCCTGCCTGCCCTTCACTCTAGATCAAGCCTAACCTTAACGTTAATCAAAGTTCAAATTTGCTGGGGAATTGCTTGATTAACTTACGCCGCCGTTACGTGTGAGCAAAGGTGAAGGTCTGCGCTATTCCCTGAGGGAAACCAATTTCCCGGCCAGATTCGCCCTGATTCGCCCCCACCACTCACCTTCATCCCAGTCGTCCAATGCGGATTGCGGTGGGGCGTTCAGTGGATACTTGGCCGCCTCCCGCCGATGCAGTTCATCCACGGCCGCCTGCAGCGAAAATGCGGCGGTGCGTTGTGGTGTCGCTAGGATGCACTGCACCACCGCCAGCAGCACCAGCATGGCACCACCGGGGCCTACAAATCGCTTGGCCATTGCCTCGCTAGCTGCTTTGCTTCTTTCACTCTGACACCAAATTGGGCACCTAAAGCTGGAAAAAACATTTTTAAATAATATAATAATATTTGGACTTTCCTTTGAACTTTCTATATAAATTTATATCATAGAAAATATAAATCAAACATCTTATTCATAAAATATTTCTGTCTCTTTAACTTTTCATATGCTTATAGGAGAACAAAAAGTTCCGAAGTTTACTCACTTTAAGACATAGTAAGACTTAAAACTTAGTATTTAAAACTCCATCGAATTGTTTAAGTTTTCGATCGGCAAACGTGGCTTAGAAAAACCAGTTAAGTGTTGAGCGTGCGCGATTAAAATGGATTCAAAGGCCCGACACGTTTGCGACAGGTGCGTAAAAAACTTTTAATTACATTTGCACTTTAAAGCGTTTACCTTTCCGTGCATGAATGTGTGTGTCATAGAGTGGGTGGGGTTTGTTGTATGTCGGTGTTTGTGAGTGTGTATCAGGTGTCATCTTTTCGCGGCCACTTGATGGCGTGTGAAATTCCATATTTCCTCGCTTAATTATGCAAACGAGCAGCAGGTAACCGAAAATTCCGGGCTTATGCCGCACGAAGTATTTGAATAATCGGCCCATTTCATCCGACTGACTAATGAAGCAAATCCCACAGCATCCTGCATATGGAAGGGACCAAGGAATATAAATCAATAAAATTCCAATGTGCCTGCAAATATTCAGCGTGCTTGGCAAATTAGAGGGGAGAACTTCATTCGAGCAGCTATTGTACTTTCCTGCCTGACTTTCCGGCATTCTTGGCCGATGACAAAAGCCAAGCTGACAATTATGGAAAACTTGAATAGCTGCTCGGATGCCAACTGCCATTGAAATGCTCATCCCGTCCTTATTTATTCGCTCCTCCGCTTTTCTCCCGGCTTCATGGTGGCGCACATAAGTATGCTACGCATTTTCTCGGATGGAATATATGGCTTGGAAGGAGAATATATGGTAATCACACCTGGACGCCCACTACCCACAAGCACTCTTCGCCATAGTTGTGCTCCGCTCGCTTGGCTCATACCTGTGGTGGCCACGTTTGCTTTTCATTTTCCCCCCATTAAATGTCAAGGCAGCCGACGCTTTTCATTCGCTTTTCCTTGGCTTTTCCTGCTGCTTCTATGGCCAATCCCCCGCGCTGGTGAAGAACCCTATTTGCGTCTCGCCTGCAGCTGTTGGCTCGTCTCAGTCCCCTTTCATTGTATTATTGCTGCTTGGATGGCTTTTGTCTAAGAAAGCGAGTCCCCAGTTGTTGATGTTTTTGTGTCTGTGCCTTGGCTCTAATCCAGATTAAACGCAGCTGCATATAGCAGATTCCAATTCCCCTCGATTGCAAAGGGTTTCCCAGCCACATGCCTGTTGATCGGGACGTTGCTTTTCCCATTTTCCTATAAGGCACTTATAATGTGGAGAGAAATTGAATAGGGCTACTCTGTATCTCGTATTTGAAAATAGTATTTAAATCAGTTTTCAAATAATCATGACAGAAAAAAATAGTTTGAAATAGGTATTAAAGCAACTTATCAAAGAAAAGTTACCATTCAGCTGAGCTAAGCTGTAAAAACTGTTTCTTTCTAGCATTTCCTCCATCGCACACTTTTAGTGGCTAACAGGGCGTATGATTAATATGCACTTCTACTTAAACTTCGTTGTAATACAATAGTATATTCTCTGTCTATGGTAATTCGATTATGATCTATTTAAGGAACTAAAGTCTTAATAAGGTACGGGTTAATGGGAATCGCCGCCAACAGCTCAAGTGGTGCAGGGGGCGTATGATTAATATTGATTGATGCCACTGTTGCCATTAAACGGAGTCAGTGCTAATAATTTATTGAGTTTCAGCTGAAAAGGCGCTGGTTCTCGCCAATCAGATTTCCCGACCGAACAAATGCGACCCAGCAGGGCATTTAAATTAGCGTCCTAATTGAATTTGTCGCAGAAACCATGGATACTACTGCTCTATATATATACACTTATATCAGGAGCAGGACACGGACACTTTGCGCTAGAAAAGGGATCCTTTTGGGGGAATCGGGACAAATTCAATCGGGCTTTTGACCGGCGACTAAGTGAATGTAAATGCATTCTGGCGGCAAAGGAAGCGGCTAATTAGGGGCCGGGAAAAGCTTTTTGCCCTAAAATATTTAAGAACAACGAGGCAAATGTCCCGTCCTCGGGGAAGTTGCCAACTTGTTAGCCAAGATTTTGCGAACGTGTGTATGTATCAGATATTCAGGGAAATGCCCGAGGTACTTTGTCAACAGGCCAACAAACAATTCATCAGCTCCATTGTCCAATTAGTGAATCCCGGGAGTTGCAAATGAATTGTACGCAATTATTTTGGCTCCGCTTCGCCCGCCCACGCATAAAAATATATCTATGTATATATATATTTTTATATATGTACACACACGCCCACCAGCGAAATCAATGGAAACGGAAAATCCTGTGCAACATTTGCGTAATTTCCATGCCACACACACACAAGCACACTGGCCAAAAAGTTTGCACTTTCCACAACTCACTTGGATTGTTTTAAACTATGCTGTTTATTTTCGCCACTTTCGAGTGCAGTTTTCCTTGCGAATTTTCCACTTTCTGCCAGACACTTTTCACAACATGGCGTCACGCCTACGCCAGCACCACACAGTAAGCGCTCGTCACTGCCAGCCAGTAGCCACTGTACCCACCTCTGTGCTCAGCCAAGGCGGAACCAAGAGTGTCGCCAGTCTCTGGAGCTTCCATGCTTTATACAGGACCCGCGAGAACCGACGGCACCCGACGACAGCCGAAGCTCTCCGAGCGCTACGTCCTCTCGTGTGGCAAGTAGAGCATGGGGGGACATGGGGGAGCTTGGGGGGCGCAGAAAAAAGCTTTCAGCTGCAGTCGAGCTTCGTTCGGTTGGACACTGAACCGAATTCTTACATATAACACAAATAAATAAAAAAAAGATTCAAAACTCCAAACGAGTAACAAAAGCAAATAGAGAAAGTGTATATAATGTTATATTGTGTTTCTGCTAAAATGTGTTTAATAATTGAAAATTAAATTTTGACAATTTATGAAGTGTTGATGCTGTAATTAGAAATCTTAGTTGTAACAGTTAAGGATGACAATGAGTGGATTTCTATAGGAAAAATTGAACTAGGACTTATAAATCTAATAAATCTGTATACGAACTAGGATGGCGTATAGATCTTACGTTTAGTAGACTGAAATATTGCTATTAGGTAGGCTTAGACATTGTAGACACTGTTACTTTTAGTGCGATTGGCATCACTTTCGAAATTTGTACAAATATTAATACAAGTAGACCCCTGTTTTTTTGGCCCCTTTCAAGTAATAATGGGAGCCGCCACTCAGTTTATTGTTGGCTTAATCGGCGCCCTAGGGGCTTTTTGCCTAGGCGCTGTGATCGGCTGGTCAGGACCCGTGGAAAAGGATGTCAAGAATGGCAACGCGTACGACTTTTCCCCTGGACAAACGGAATGGGGCCTGGTGGGATCTTTGATGACTCTGGGAGCAGCTTTCTCGTGCATTCCGGTGGGCGTGCTCATTGGCAAGATTGGGAGAAAGACGACAATGCTGATCCTGCTGCCACCGTTCTTCGTCGGATGGCTCCTGATCATCCTGGCGAAGCACATCGCGATGATGCTGGCCGGACGCTTCATAGTGGGATTCTGCGGAGGAGCCTTCTGCGTGGCTTGTCCTATGTACGTCACTGAGATAGCCCAGGTGCAGTACCGCGGCGTCATGGGATGCTTCTTCCAGCTGCTGATCGTCTTTGGGATTCTGTACGCCTTTGTGGTTGGTGGCTTTGCGAACACACTCTGCTTTAACATTGCATGCGCGGTTTTGCCCGTAATCTTCTTCGTCTTGCTGATTTGGATGCCCGAATCTCCGGTTTTTTTGGCCCAAAAGGGAAAGTCGGAGAAGGCGGAGAAATCGCTGAAATTTCTGCGAGGTAAGGATGCGGATGTAGCCGGTGAACTGAAGGACATGAGCGCCGAGGGCCAAAAGGAGAAGGCCAGCATTGGGAAAACACTCTGCCGCAAGGTTACACTCAAGGGACTGTTTCTCTCCATCGGTCTCATGTTGTTCCAGCAAATGACGGGCATCAATGCGATCATTTTCTATACCACATTCATCTTTGAGAAGGCTGGATCGACACTGGAGCCCCGAATATCAACGATTATAGTGGGGGTCGTGCAGGCAATTGCCACCATCATCTCGATCCTGGTGATTGAGAAAGTCGGTCGCAAGATACTCCTGATGGTCTCCGCCTTCATGATGGGCATCAGCACCCTGGTCATGGCCCTTTTCTTTGGCATGCTAATGAAATCTGGGGTCGGTTGGCTGGCCCTAATGGCCGTTTGCATATTCATTATCGGCTTCTCCCTGGGATTCGGTCCTGTTCCCTGGTTAATGATGGCCGAGCTCTTCGCCGAGGATGTTAAGGCACTGGCGGGATCGATAGCCGGGACCACAAATTGGTGTTTTGCTTTTATCGTAACCCTTCTCTTTCCGGTTCTTAACGATTCTATTGGAGCTACAGCTTGCTTTGCAATCTTCTTTGGATTTTCGGTGGCCGCCTTTGTGTTCATTCTTTTCCTGATTCCCGAGACGAAGGGAAAAACTCTTAACGAGATTCAGGCCAAGTTGGGCCAGAAGGCCGAATAGTATCGGGAATCTAGAGAATTCTTCACTCATGTTTATGAGCAAAATATTTTCAGTGAAACATTAAAAAAAAACATTTGCCAGAAGCAGTAACCGAAGAACATTCAAATTGATGTGTCCAATAAAAAATGTACATATATGATATTATTCTGTATTGCGAAAGTTATTTATTTCAAATCCCACCTGTTGACATTTCCAGTGTTTCTACCAGAAAAAGATTTTTGACTTACCATTTCGGACAATTTATTTTTCGCAGATCCTACAGCCACTTGGACTACTTGGAAGGGATGTTGAAACACACAGCAGTGAAATTAGAAAACTGCCAGGCTCGACATGCAAAATAAATGCGCTTTGACTTCGGATGCAATGGGAATTCGTAAGCCTTGTTGTCCAGGTAAATAGTCGAAAGCTTTCCGGCCGACAGGATGCCATTTCCCCAGCAAGTTCGGGCCTGGTTGCGATTTCCTGGCCAGTGCGCATGCCACCCGAAACATCTGACGGAGCTGCAGCTGGGGGTTATGTACACTCGTTCTGGCCAGGCCAAAAGCACATACCAATTCCGGGAACGAACTGTTGCTCTCCCATCAGCAGGACCTGAATCTGAGCCACCTGTTACTCCGCCCGCCCGACAATCAGCATGCATTCGCCCAACAATCATTTCCGGAGTTATCCCTCTCAACCACTCGGTAATTGTCTTTTGGGGTGACTGAAAATGGCAAATAAAAAAGTAGTATTCAGAATAGAGGTAGGCCCTACAATGGGGAACTATCTCCGTTCAACTTCTCTTTAATTAACATGATGAGCGGATTCATCTGGAATAGGAAACTCATGTGGCGTGTATTCAAAAAGCAATTGTTGCATACATACTCATTAATTCCTGGTAATTGAATCTTTTCACAGAAGAACTCACACGACTTGTGCTTCTGGTTAATGTTCCTTGTTTTCAAGGAACATTCACTAGGCAACACAAGGTATGACTAATTGATTATTTGAGCAATCAAGCTTATCAGGAAAAAGGACACCTCAATATTTTCTTGTACATGAAGCCTGCAAGACTGCTTTGAACATCTACGGATGACTGTACTTTAGCCCCTCGTACGTGTCCAATTGTCCGAATTCTCGGAACAGGTGGGAAACATGTTTGGGGAATCCGGACTTCCCTGCTCTCCTGTTGTTTCCATGACGATGATGCAGATGTTGTCCGGGACAGACGCTTCAGCTGCAACACGTCTCCCGGTCCGGATATTATTCGCTTGCAAAGCAATTGCCCAGCCATTCACAATTTTTAATAAAGACCATAGTAAGCAGGAATTGCGCAAATAAAGCGCTGGGAAATCTCCTTTGAATGGCTTTTCATTTGAGATTTAAATTGAAAAGGCTAATAATATTTTCAATTCATACTGGTAGCAATTGATACAATTGATGTTTCTTAACTTTTACCAGTGGTTAATAGACATAGTAAGGTATAGCTACATATATTTTTATTCAGTTTTTAAAGTCGAACGAGTATATACAAAATAAATATGATTTTCTTCCGTTTTCTGACTAATGCGTGATTCCGATTGAGATTAGGTTATGAGTGACTAAGACTAGGTACTACGAACTAATGGATTCACGCTGGCGATGAATCGTATTCACGAGCAGTCGCGGGGACTAAAGCTTAAACTGGTATTCCATCCTCTGACCGGAGATTATCTCTCAAGTTTACACCTTGAAGATGCCAAAGTAGCTTCGGTTGTTCCCCTCCCGCAGAACGGCATTGCGATCGTTGTGAATGTCCTTCAGGTGGATCCTCTCGTTTCGTTCCAGGTGGATCAGACCACTCGTGTGGCAGGTGTGCACCTTATGTGGCATGTTGGTGGGCACCGTGTTTAAGCACTGCAGGAATGGAGTGTCTCCTTGAAAGACGATAAATCCGTTCTGGTCGTGCGAGTTATTGTAGCATATCTGGGCGTATACGTAATATAGGCCGGAATTGATCACCGTCAAGACGCCATCGCGCGTTTGAAAGTGTCCCTGATAAGAGTTTCTCTCGTTATCGTTTCCTATATACATATCTCCATGGTAGCCTGTGAATTTCAAGAAGTGAGCTCATTAGGTTGCCTTAAGCATATGCACACATGGCGGAAGCATCTCCTTACTCATACTCCCTTGGGTACGCCGTTTGCTACTCAGGTGGAAATGGGCAGCTGGCCTCGAGTCCTCGGATCTGGCTGAAAGAAGAGATTCACCTGCAAAGTTAACAGAGGTGCGAATAGAGATTTGGTATTCGATTTCTGCCAATTGTATCGGTTTTCTGCAATACACACCTTTGCGGACTAAGAGGTGGCGATGGCGGGAATGCATCCTGCGACGGTGGTGAAGTGGTGCAGAGCTTCAAATGAAAACGAAAATATAAATGTGTTTTAGTTACGCTGTTAACAATCTAATCTAAACCTGCAAGACATAACATTATTATCAGAGCATTGTACTAACCTCTCTTTGGAAGTTGCCTCATTTGATGCCTTTTCCTGAAGCTCTGTGCGATTTCCTTGAATATTCTGCTCCTCATGACGTACATCGGCAATCGAGCGAGATTTTCTGTGAAGCAGAAAGGCAGGGTCTGAATATAATAGGTCCCTGAAAACCGAATCGGTGCTCACCTCTCCTGCTTCTTTTTGTGGGCATTATAGGTGGTAAAGTCATCAAAGACATTGTCATCATTCGAGGCGGAGGACGCACTGTCCGTCTCCCCCTCGCCATCGCCCTCTGCAGTGGTCTCAGATGTGGGCGTGGTTCCGGTGTGTGCATTATTGAGCTTGTCTAACATACTGCTGTAGTCCTCGTAGTCAGCGCCACCATCATCGACAGAGCCGTAGCTATCTTCGTCGTCCTCCCCGTCTGCAACGGAATCCAGATCATCGTCGTCGTCCTCCTCATCGTCCGTGAGGCCATCCACCTTTTTGGGATAGTCGATGAGGGCATTTTCGTACTGCAACGAAGAGATGGGGTCAGCATTTTGGGTCAGAACACTTGGCCAAATACGTGACTGCAGCTGGCACAGTCCTGG